GACAGAGTTTATTCAATATTCTAACGCCTAGCAATGCATGCATCAACTGCAACACGGTCTTTCAGAGCAGGGGGGAGGCGGTGAGGCATTTGGCACGGTCATGGCACGCTGGGAGATGTATCAAGCACAACACGGCGTACCCGTACACGCACCACCTGCCTACTACGCACGTGTGCGCGCTGTGCCAGTCCTCGTTCGCGACCTACGAGAACCTCCGTAGCCACTTGTGCTCACACCTGCCGCCGACGCAGGAGGGCAGATCCATCTCAGTCGTCACACCGAGACCTGTACCGTCCAGACCAAGGCCGAGGGTGAAAAGGCTCGCAGCGCCTGCTTCAGGACCACGTCTGAGAGGAAGTGGGATTCGCACAGTCGAGCGCTTGTTTGTCAGCAGCAACACTCTTTTACTTAATGGAGGTGGAGAAGTCAGGGAGGTGGCGCCCACGCAAGGGGGGCTCCTTGGCTCAGTCGCCGACTGGTGGGCAGGCGTCCAACGGCGGCGACGAGAGTCAGCAGCGCAAGGGAGCTCGAGCCGAGGGGGGAGCACGACTCCAACGTGGCGGCGGAGGCAACGAGGGCTCGGGGACCAAGCCGAAGGTCAGGCGTGGCGGTCGGAGACGAGCCGAGCAGAAGGACCGCAAGTTGAACGCCAAGGATGCTGGCCTCCGAGAGATCCTGCTACTGCTGAGCATGCAAGTGGCTCAGCTCACCCAGAATCGCGGGCGCTATGGGGGATCGCTACCAGGACCATCCTGGTCGAAGAAAAGAGCAGCGTGGTGAAGGCCACGCAGCAGGAGTCGAATGATTTCTCGGACCACGCGGCGGACCTCCGCACGCAGATAGGCAAGTACAAAGAGGACGCCAAGAAGGCGAGCGGCTCCGACGCGGGGGCCGAGAAGGAGGCGGCGATGAAGGCCGAGGAGATCCAGAAGGAGCTGCGCACGCTGGGGCCCCCCGCCCCAGCTCTCTTCGCGGCGCTCGTCGAGAGCCTGGCGGCCGAGGAGGTTGGGGCGGTCAACCGCAGGGCGCTGGAGGCGAAGAAGCAGGAGTTCGTCGAGGCCCCGCCCACGGACGTCCGCTTGTGCAGGCTGGAGAGCTGCAAGGACGAGGACATGATCAAGATCGTGCTGGCCCTCGACGACAAGTCCAAGGAGGGGGTGATCGCGGCCTCGCTGCACGCGATGGGAGCCCAGGTGACGAGTGGCATGGCCCCTTCGGGCTACATGGAGGACGAGATCAGCGTCTGGATCGACGCGCTGAAGGCGGCTTGAGCCCTGCAGGTGAGCCTGTCGGCTGCAGCTTCGCCGCCCTGCGCCCAGACGTTGGAGGGGTCGTGTCATTGTCGTCCGAGTCGGGGGAGGAGGAGGGATGTATGTAGAGTCTTGCCCCCCCTACTGCCCCCGCGGCTTCGCCGTGCTCGCGGTGTTCTGACGGACTATCGCGGGGGCAGTGGGGGGACGAAGACGGCTTTCCTCTTTAGACCGACGCGCAACTTTCGAAGCCACTGGCCGTCTCGGTGGGTTAGTATCTCTGGACCGATGTGCACGCACTGCCTCGGAGCCATCGAGCTTTGGGATGCGCAGCCGTGCGCACCTGGCATAGCAGCAGCACCAGCACGGTGCGGACGGCGGGCATGTGAATCTTTCTAGCAGTTTTACCCTGTGACGGGTTGATCAGCTCGCGTGCAGCGTGTTGTCAGTCACCTCGTGTACGGGTGCTGGTGTGCATACGCGTTAGATGTCTCTTGCGAGCATTGGAGTACTGCGTAATCTTGTCCAGCAGCCGCGTGCAAGCAAGCAAGCAAGCAAGCAAGCTCCTCCTCCTCCTCCTCCTCCTCCTCCTCCTCCTCTGCCTCCTCCTCCTCCTCTCCTCCACCTCCTCTGCCTCCTCCTCCTCCTCCTCCTCCTCCTCCTCCTCCTCCTCCTCCTCCTCCTCCTCCTCCTCCTCCTCCCCCTCACTCATTGTTCGTTCCCCTCCTATCGGGAGGCAACGGCCGCTGGGATCGGTGCAAGCAGTCTGCTCGAGGTGCTGGTCGGGACGCGCCCCGGGAGAGGTCCGGGGGGGGGCGTCGCGGCTCGGCCGCTGGGTCGAGACATCGCTGGGCGGAGGAGAAGGAGGATGATGACGATGACGATGACGATGACGATAATGATGATGATGATGATGATGGTGATGATGAAAATGATGGTGATGATGACGATGACGATGATGATGATGATGAGAAGGAGGAGGAGGAGGAGCAGGAGGAGGACGAGGAGGGGGATGGGGATGGGGATGGGGATGAGGACGGGGATGATGATGATGATGAGGAGGATGATGATGACGATGACGATGATGACGATGATGATGATGATGACGATGACGATGACGATCATGATGATGATGATGATGATGATGAGAATGATGATGAGGTGGAGGAGGAGGAGGAGGATTCATCCCTTCCACACTTCCACAGTCTGCCTGCTTGTCTCCCCTCTCCCCTGATGACGTCCAGAAGATATTCGGCCCCCGTCCGCGTATTGTTATTGTTAAGCACGTGATTCCTCGCTTAGGTTGTTTGAAAATTTTGCTCCCGCTGCAGCGGTGGCCTCATTTTCGGGCTTCCGATCGTTCCGGATCGTGCTCCCGCTGCAGCGCTAGTCCCATTTCCGCGCTTCCGCTCGTTCCGAATCGTGCTCCCGCTGCAGCGCTGGCCTCATTTCCGCGTTTCCGTTCGTTCCGAATCGTGCTCCCGCTGCAGCGTTGGCGTCGTTAGTTTCAGTGCCATGCCACGGCATGTAATCCAATCCAATGCAATGTTATGTGGTGTTCCGCTGTGCGATGTCATGCCTTCAGCTGCAATGCTAGGATATGCAGTGCTTGACTACGCATTGCCACACCATGCTATGCCATGCTACGCGTTCATCGTCAACGCCATGCTATGCCATGTTCTCTTCTGTGCCGCTGTGCGATGCCATGCGTTGCGATGCTTTGCGATGCAATTCGTCACTCCGCAACGCCACGCCATGCTATGACATACTACGCTCGGCCTTGCTCTTGTACGCCCTGCTACGCCGTGCTCTACGATGCATCGCGCACCCTGTCGGGATCATTGCCCTGCTCGACATCCGGCTGTGCGAATAGAGCGGAGATCTACGCCATGGTAAGGGATGGGAGGGAGGGGTAGGACGTCTGATATGACGCGAGCGCACCTAGCTTGCCCCCCCCCTCCCTCCTCGTCCTCGTCGTCGTCCTCCTCCTCGCTCGTTCGACATGCTGGTCGGGTCGCGCCCCAGGAGAGGTCCGGGGAGCAGCGAGCCTGTAGCGTTCGGTAGCAAATGGGGGGAGCCTGGTATGCCCTCTCAATTCCGTCCTTCGCGTCGACTAGCGTCGATTAGCGTCCAGAGTCGATGCGACTGCGCCGATGTAGCGTCGGCTGGCGTCGACGAGCGTCGATCTAGCGTCGATTAGCGTCGGTCTAGCGTCGGTTCAGCGTCGGTTCGCAGCAGCCGACAAGATGGTACGGGAGGCTCCCATGAGCTGCCACCGAATATGTCAGGAGGAAAAGAGACACACAGACACCATGAATCCCCGATTCCCCAGAAATTGATGGGAAGATATGGGAAGTGGGGGGGAAGACAGAAACCCAGAACCTATGGGAAAAAAGGGGGAGCAGTTTTTATTTGTGTGTATTTCTCTGTGTGTCCTGGGGCCCTTTCGATGTGGCGGTGCCCGGCCCCCCCCCCCCCCCGCAGGAGCGGGCGCCGTGCGAGCAGCCGCCGCTGTGGGCCCAGAGGCAGTTTGTGCAGAGGGCGGGGCTGCCGTTCCCCCAGGACGAGAAGGAGAAGGACAGGCAGACGACGACGACGAGGAGGAGGAGGAGGAGGAGGAGGAGGAAGAGGAAGAGGAAGAGGAGGAGGAGGAAGAGGAAGTTCAGGAGGAGGAGGAGGAAGAGGAAGAGGAGGAGGAGGAGGAGGAGGAGGAGGAGGAGGAGGAGGAGGAGGAAGAGGAGGAGGAGGAGGAGGAGGAGGAGGAGGGTGGTGATGATGGTGGTGATTGTGGTGATGCTGATGGTGGTGCTGACGATGATAATGATGATGGTGAAAGGGGTGATGATGGTGGTGGTAATGATGGTGGTGGTAATGATGGTGGTGGTGATGGGGCATCATGAAGATAATGCTGTTGATGATGTTGCTGATGCTGATGATGATGCTGATGATGCTGATGGTGATGACGATGATTCGTATGGTGTTCGTGATGACGATGATGATGACGGCAACGATGATGATGAGCATGATGATGGTCAGGATGCTGCTGCTGCTGATGGTGATGCTCATCATAGCGTCATCATTAGCACCATCACCATCAACATCGCCATCGTCATCATTAGCGTACAGTAAGTAGGTTCGCGTCGTGTCGGAAGCAGGCGATCCCGCCGCCAGCGTTGAACGTTGAACGCCGCCAGTGGCCCAGAATCGGTCGATGCTGAACGATCTGACGTTTAGGAAACTGCAGACAGTTCAAGGTTTGACGATCTCCACGGCGTCAGAAACAAACGCCGAAGTCGGCACGACACTAACCTGCCGTAAACCGAAACATCACCAACGATGTTGCAATACATCCTCCCTGCCAGTCTGCAAGTTCCCTCTACACAGATCCCTGCCAGACATCATGCTGATCGTGGGACTCGCATGCCACGAGCCAATCCTATGATGACACCGCTCTCGTCACAGGACAAGCAGAAGGGGGTCAAGGAGCAGCAGGGCGAGATTGCGCAGAACGCCGTCGTGATGGCCAGCCTGCTCGAAGAGGTCAAGGAGAAGCTCCCGAGCTCGGGGAAGATGCACCCGGTGGTGGCGAAGGCCTGCCAGGCACTTCGGAGGGCGGCCGACCAGGACAGAAAGTACCCGAGCAGCAAGCACAGCAACGCCAGTGGGGGAGGCGGTGGCGGTGGCGGCGGTGACGATGGCAACGCGCACGATCAGGCAAAGGAGGATGCAGCCCAGGAGGTCTCCGAGCTGATGAAGCGCCTCAAGGCCCTGAGCCACGGCGATTTCGAGGTCATCCTCTCTGGCGGCGAGGCCAAGGAAAAGACGAGCGTGATCATCATCGTGCAGAGGGAGGAGGGCACTGCTGAGGACTCTTTCAGGCTGACCCTCGTAAACCGCAGCCCAGCGCAGAGAAGCGAGGGGGACGACGGCCTGATCTACCACCCGTACTTCCTCGACAGCAGCCTGCAGGTGCTCCGCAAGACGGTGCTGACGTTCCAGGGCATCCCCGGCGCCAAGATCATCGACGAGGCCGTGCTCTACGAGCTCATGAAAGAGATGAGCCTCATGGCGAAGCCAGGAGACGGCCTCCGCTACATCTACGAGGTGACCAGAGGAGGGCGAGCCGAAGCCAGCGGCACTGGGCCGTCGGGTGCTCCCCTCGTAGCCACGGCCGGACGCCGCGTGGAGAATTGGGGCGCTTGGACCCCGGGGCTAGGCGGGGGGACAATGGTGATCGTTGTTTTGACCCATTGTTTTGCCGATCGACGCGCCCCCCCCCCCCATGGAGTAGATCTTGGCTGTTGTTGGCGCCTGCTTCGAGCAGGTGGAGCCTCCCCTCATGGGACGCACTGTCGCAAACAGTCGCGCTAAGCGGAGGTCCAAAGCCAGATCCCCCCCCCTCTCCGCTCAATGCCGAAAGGACGAAGAAGAACACGCTCACATGTCCTCCTCCTCCTCCTTCCTCCTCCTCCTCCTCCGCCTCCTCCTCCCTCCTCCTCCTCCTCCTCCTCCTCCTCCTCCTCCTCCTCGTCGTCCTCCTTGCTGAACTGCCGCTGCCTCAACAGCCGCCCCTGCTCCGAGAGGTGATTATGCCGCACCTCGCAGGCCGCACCCGCCTCAGCGAGTGTGCGGAGATGGCCGAGGCTCGGCAGCTCGACCTGAGCGGCGCCGCGCCCCCGGAGTTCGAGGCGAGCCCTAAACCGGGCCTGTCCCTGCACAAGAGGAGGAGGAGGAGGAGGAGGAGGAAGAAGAGGAGGAGGAGGAGGACGAGGAGGAGGAGGAGGACGAGGAGGAGGAGGAGGAGGAGGAGGAGGAGGAGGAGGAGGAGGGGGATGCCGAGGAGGAGGAGGAAAAGGAGGAGGAGGAGGAGGAGGAGGGGGAGGAGGGGGAGGAGGAGGAGGAGGATGGGGATGCCGAGGAGGAGGAGGACGAGGGAGAGGAGGAGGAGGAGGAGGAGGAGGAGGAGGACGAGGAGGAAGGAGGAGGAGGAGGAGGAGGAGGTTCTCGAGGCCGGGGGATTGTGGAGCCCCTCGTCGTGTTCATACGGTTTTCATCGAGTGAAACGCTCTTTCACCCTCAAACCTTGATTGTTTGTGTCATTTTTCCTCTCGTTGTGATCCCCTCATACTAACATTTTCTCGTTATATCGTTCGCTTGTGTTCTCTCTCTCTCTCTCTCTCTTTGTCTCTCTCTCTCTCTCTTTGTCTATCTCCTGCACCAGGCCAATGCATGACGATGCGATGCAACTCCATTCCCAACCAACACCAATGCCAATGCAATGCCAATGGGGGGATCCTTTCGTTCGGTGGATTTCAATAAGAATACTTTGTGGACGATGTCATTACGAATCCTTCTTCGGAGGATTTCATTTGCAATGCTGATTTGTAAGGTTTCGACAGGGATCCTCATGTGGAAGGTTCCACTAATCCTTCATGTGGGGGATTCAATCGGACTCGTTCTTTTGGAGGGTTTCAGTAGGAGTCCATCTGCGGAGGGAGCCATTAGGACTCGCCTGCGCACTGCCAACGCAATGCCAAAGCTTTGCCATCGCAATGCCAAACCAATGCCAAGGCGACCCCAATTCAATGCCAATGCAATGCCCATGGGTGGTATCCTTTGTGGTAGATTCCAAAAGGAATCCTACCTGTGGAGGGTTTCGATTAGAATCCTTCCGTGGGGAGGTCCAGTATGAATCTTTTATGTGGGGGCATTCAAAAAGGATCCCTTCTTGTTGAAGGTAAGGAATTCTTCTATGGTGGGAGCCATTCGAACTCGCCAGCGCAATGCCGAAGCAGTGCCAACGCAATGCCAAACCAATGCCAACGCAATGTCAATGGGGGAATTGTTTGTGGTAGGTTTCAACAGCAATCCTTCTAAGAACCCTTATTCGGGGGATGTCACTAGGAAACCTTGTATGGAGGGCTTCGCATGGAACCCTTCTGTTGAGGATTCCAAGTTGGATCCTTCTTGTGGGGGGTATTCAATAGGCATCTTTCTTGTGGGGGGTGTTTAATAGGTTAATAGGAATTCTTATGTGAAGTGTTTGAGTAGGACTCGCCAGCGCAATGTCAGCGCACTGCCAACGCACTGCTAACGCACTGCCATCGCAGGGCCAACGCAATGCCAACGCGATGCCAAACCGTTGCCAAACCAATGCCAATGCAATGCCGATGGCGGGGTCTTGTCTTCCAACGGATTTCACTCGAAATAATTATGTGGATGATGTGGTTGCGAATCCTTCTTCGGAGGATTTCGATTGGAATCCTACCGTGAAGGGTTTCGATTGGGATCTTGAGTTGAATCCTTCATGTGGGGGCTTTCAAAAGGACCCTTTCTTGTGCAAGGTTTTCATAGGAATCCTTCTGTGGAGGGAGCCATTAAAACTCGCCAGCGCAATGCCAACGCAATACCAACGCAATGCCAAGCCCATGTCAAAGTGATCCCACTTCAATGCCAATGCAATGCCACTGGGGGAAATCGTTTTTGGTCAGGTTCAAGGAGAATCCTCATATGGAGGGTTTCGAATGGAATCCTTCCGTGAGGGAGTTCCATGTGAACCTTTTTTGTGGGATGCTTCAATCGGAATCCTTCTCGTGGGGGGTTCACCAGGAATCATTCTGCGAAGGGAGGCGTTGGAACTCGCCAGCGCAATGCCGACGCAGTACCAACGCATTGCCACACCAATGCCAAACCGATCCCAACCCAACGCCAATGCACTGCCAATGGGGGGAAATCCTTTGTGGTAGGTTTCAATATGAATCCTTCGGCGTACGGTTTCGCATGGAATCCTACTGCGGAGGGTTTCAATAGGAGTCCTTCTTGTAGACGGTTTCGATCGGAGTCCTTCTGCGGAGGGTTCCATTAGGACTCGCCAGTGCAATGCTTGCGAAATGCAAGCACACTAGCAACGCACTGCCAAGCGCAATGCCAAGCGCAATGCCAATGCGATGCCAAACAATTGCCAAGCCAATGCCAATGCAATGCCAACAGGGGGGTCTTTCTTTCGAAGCATCTCAATACCAAGCAAGGTTTTCATAGGAATCCTTCTGTGGGGGGAGCCATTAGAACTCGCCAGCGCAATGCCAACGCAATACCAACGCAATGCCAAGCCCATGCCAAAGTGATCCCACTTCAATGCCAATGCAATGCCACTGGGGGAAATCGTTTTTGGTCGGGTTCAAGAAGAATCCTTATATGGAGGGTTTCGAATGGAATCCCTCCGTGAGGGAGTTCCATGTGAACCCTTTTTTTGTGGGATGTTTCAATCGGAATCCTTCTTGTGGGAGGTTCACCAGGAATCATTATGCGAAGGGAGGCGTTGGAACTCGCCAGCGCAATGCCGACGCAGTGCCAACGCAATGCCACACCAATGCCAAAGCGATCCCAACCCAATGCAAATGCACTGCCAATGGGGGGAAATCCTTTGTGGTAGGTTTCAATATGAATCCTACGGTGTACGGTTTCGCAGGGAATCCTACTGTGGAGGGTTTCAATAGGAGTCCTTCTTGTAGACGGTTTCGATCGGAGTCCTTCTGCGGAGGGTTCCATTAGGACTCGCCAGTGCAATGCTTGCGAAATGCAGGCGCACTAGCAACGCACTGCCAAGCGTAATGCCAACGCAATGCCAATGCGATGCCAAACCATTGCCAAACCAATGCCAATGCAATGCCAACAGGGGGGTCTTTCTTTCGAAGCATCTCAATACCAATCAAGGTTTTCATAGGAATCCTTCTGTGGGGGGAGCCATTAGAACTCGCCAGCGCAATGCCAACGCAATACCAACGCAATGCCAAGCCCATGCCAAAGTGATCCCACTTCAATGCCAATGCAATGCCACTGGGGGAAATCGTTTTTGGTCGGGTTCCAGAAGAATCTTTATATGGAGGGTTTCGAATTGAATCCTTCCGTGAGGGAGTTCAGTGTAAACCTTTTTTTGTGGGATGTTTCAATCGGAATCCTTCTTGTGGGAGGTTCACCAGGAATCATTCTGCGAAGGGAGGCGTTGGAACTCGCCAGCGCAATGCCAACGCAGTGCCAACGCAATGCCACACCAACGCCAAAGCGATCCCAACCAAATGCCAATGCACTGCCAATGGGGGGAATTCCTTTGTGTTTGATTTCAATAGGAATCCTTCGGTGGAGGGTTTCGCATGGAATCCTTCTGTGGATGGTGTCAATATGAACAGTTTTTGTGGAGGGTTTCAATAGGAATCCTTCTTGTAGAAGGTTTCGATCGGAGTCCTTCTGTGTAGTGTTCCATTAGGACTCGCCAGTGCAATGCTTACGACATGCAAGCACGCTAGCAACGCACTGCCAAGCGCAATGTCAACGCAATGCCAGTGCGATGCCAAACCATTGCCAAACCAATGCCCATGCAATGCCAACGGGGGGGTCCTTCTTTCGAAGCATCTCAATATCAATCCTTCTGCGGGCGATTTCAATAGGAATCCATATGTGGAGGATTCCAGTAGGAATCATTCAATGGAGGGTTTCGATGGGAGCCCTTTTGTAGAGGATTCCACTATGTATCCTTCTTGTGGGGGGGCGTTCAATAGGGTCTCTTCTAGGGGGAGGGCAGATGAGGCCACGTCGCATTCCTTTTTTTTTGCCGCCGACCCCCCACACACACACACACACAAACACAAAAAGAACACATTGGGGGGAGGGGGGAGAGAGAAAACAAACAAAAGAGGAGGAGGAGGAGGAGGAGGAGGACGGGGAGGCGGAAGGAGAGGAGGACGCCACAGAGTATGCACACCACTGAAAGACGCACGCGCGAACTCAGTGTGAAAGCCTCGCGCGCGCTCTGGATCCCCGAGGGTCTCCACAATCCCCCGTTCTCGAGGAGGAGGAGGAGGAGGAGGAGGAGGAGGAGGAGGGGGAGGGGGAGGAGGAGGAGGGAGTCAGTGGCGCTCTTGCGTGCCCCCTCTCAAGCTGCGCACCAGGAAGGGTCACCCCGGGCTTAGGTCGGGCCTGTCCCCGCACAGGGGGAAGATTCGAAAATAATCCACAAATAGTCTAGGGACGATTTGTCGCGTATTTGTCCGCACTTGTTTTGATTTTTACCTAACAGCTCTTGCTGATAGGTTTCTAGTGGTCTCAAAAGAGAGCATCATGACTCCTCAGGGGGGTCTGGGCGGGACCCGGGGAGGCTGCCGCCGAAGCCGAAATCGCTTGGGACATCCTCGCAAAATCGCTCTTGGTGCTCCCAGAACTCCATTCCCGGGCCACATTTTGGATGCCCGGAGCCAACTGTAGGCCACTTCGTGCTCTTCGATTTCCCAGAACTCCATTCCCGGGCCACATTTTGGATGCCCGGAGCCAACTGTAGGCCACTTCGTGCTCTTCTCCCAGAACTCCATTCCCGGGCCACATTTTGGATCAACTGTAGGCCACTTCGTCTTCAAGTTCCCAGAACTCCATTCCTGGGCATGATTTTGAATGCCCGGAGCCAACTGTAGGCCACTTCGTGTTCTTCTAGTTCCCAGAACTCCATTCCTGGGCCACATTTTGAATGCTGAGGCAGGCTGATGCTGCGGCCGAGGCAGGCTGAGGCTGAGGCAGGCTGAGGCTGAGGCCGAGGCTGAAGGCAGACTGAGGCTGAGGCTGAAGCAGACTGAGGCTGAGGCTGAGGCAGGCTGAGGCTGAGGCTGAAGCAGGCTGATGCTGAGGCAGGCTGAGGCTGAGGCTGAGGCTGATGCAGGCTGAGGCTGAGGCAGGCTGAGGCTGAGGCCGAGGCTGAAGGCAGACTGAGGCTGAGGCTGAAGCAGGCTGAGGCTGAGGCTGAGGCAGGCTGAGGCTGAGGCAGGCTGAGGCTGAGGCTGAGGCAGGCTGAGGCTGAGGCTGTGACTGCGACTGCCGTTGCCGCTGCGACTGTCATCGCGAATGCGACTACGACTGCGAGAACAGCAGAATTCTACAACTGGTTTTTCATCTGAATCTTAAGGGGAATGCTTTCAGATATGCTTCTACACATCGCTGTTAGGTTGCTTTGCCGGGATAATTGTTGACTCTTTGCCATTTGTCGTCCAGAATTCGCCTGTAGGGGGACATGCCCGACCCGAGGCGAGCCTGAGCACCGAGCAGCCCGTCGAGCGTCGCTGGAAGACGCTGGAGATCGAAGAAGAAAAAACGCCATAAACATAAACTCTTGGCGCCCCGCGCGGATTTCTTCGATCCGCGCTGGGCGCCCCCCCCCCCGGCGGCGCCTCCGGCGCCGCCCCTTGCGCGCTCCGCGCGCCAAGGAGGGGGGTCCGGCGCAGATCCAAGAAAAATCAGCGCGAAGCGTCAACCGTTTTTGTGTACGTCGTTTTTGTTCTTCTTCTAGGAGAGGGCCGTGGCGCACATGCTCAGCGCGTGCGGTGCCACCAACGAGGAGGTCGGGCAGGTGCTGCTGGAGATGGACCTAATCGGAGCCAGCCGCCTTCGCGACGACATGGAGCTGCGGAGGTCCGAGTTCCAGTCGGGCGTCAGCACGATCATCAAGGAGTACTGCAGGTACATCAGGATAGGCGCGAGCCAGGGCTTCCGCAGCTGCTGCGGTGGCGGGAAGGCCCAGGAGCTGATCGACATCCTGGACCAGATGGAGGCGCAGTCTGACAGGATCGTCACGACCGTGGATCACATCGTGCCGCCGGTCCTGGAGCTCTGGGGCGGGGCGAAGACCGCGAGCAACCCGTGGGTGCTGAACGGGATGTGCCAGCGCGCCTGGACCGACGAGTGGGCCGGCCCGGTCATGGAGACCGGCTCGGGCTCGTTCGTGGACATGCAGCTGACGCTGCCGGAGGACGCGGCCAAGACCCCCGAGGTGCTCGTCACGGAGCTCATCCACGCATGCGCGGCCAAGTGCGTCCACCTGGAGAGCAAGGGCCACATCATGGGCCTGAGGAGCATGATGCTCCGGGTGGCGGCAATCGTGGAGCACTGCTTCCTGGAGCGGCTGCGAGATCTGCCGCAGCCGCCCGGCGACCCCGTCATGCTCGAGGACGTCCCCCAGCACGCCCTCCGCAGGGGCGACGAGGTGAGGGTTGTGAAGCGCCAGGGCAAGACGCTGCGCATCCAGAGGCGGTCCGGCGGAGACGCGGTGGACGTGCCTGCCGGTGCCGTGGGCGACGACCCGGAGAAGTGTGTCTACCGCCGGCTCTGGACGGGGCAGCGGCACCAGACGCTCCAGAACCGCATGCTGCAGGACCTCCACATCATCTCCGCTCATTACGCCATGGCGGTTCTCTCGGGGGGGGGTCGGAGGTGCTACCTGGGCGACGGCGTCCTGGCAAGGACAGCGACTACGTTCTTGACCATCCTCTGCGTGATGGACGCGTCTCTACGAGCGAAGTCCCCCAACAACCTTCTCCTCGCCGACATTCTCCGCGGCAACGTACTCGAGGACCCAGCTATCAAGAATCCCGAGTTCAGGGCTTGCGTGCCGCTCGGATTCTCGACCTCCACCTTGTCGGGCGTCGACGTTACGCTGCTGATGTCCAATCTGGAGAGCTGCAACCCAGACGTCCTAAGGTTCAGCCACGCGCAGAGATGGGTAGGGGAGGTGGGGAAGACTTCTTAGAAGCACTCCTGCTTCTAAGAAGCAGCGGGCCTGTTTTTGTAGTTGTGAGGCAGGCGCCTTCTAAGAAGAAGCCTCCTTCTAAGACGCCTTCCCCCTCCCCATACCCCCTTGCGCGCGCTGCCAAGAGGTGCCGCGCGAAGGTGCTGGCGTATATCCAGGTGGTGGAGAAGCTTGCACGGCCCCCCAAACCAGGCTTCATCGACAACGATCAGAGCAAGCCGGAGGGGCCCTGGTTGCTTTGCGACTGGAAGCCCGATCGGGAGTTCACCGCGGACGAGCCGAAGTGCATCTTCTACCCCAGCCTGGCGCAGGAGCTCCAGCTGAACAGGTACAGGCCGGCCACGGACGTCAACCTGCCGGTGGCGATGTCCGACAGCGGCAAGAGGGACGACGTCACCCTGTGCATGTTGCTGGCGTGCGTGTGCCAGTACATACCCAACCCCAAGGAGGCCAAGCCGGACAGGCCCAAATACCTTGGGGACCTGGATGACTTCGGTGGCTCGCAGGTGGGGCCCATGGCGGGCCCAGGGATGGTGCGCGCCGTGGCGCGAGAGGATCGAGACGAGAGCGCGCAGGGCTGGATGTGGCACAGGTGGAAGAAGAACGAGGAGGTGCACATGGCCTGCGAGGTGGTCTGGATGTGCCGGGCCGTTCTGGAGGACTGCCTCGTCCTCAACTTCGCGGGCCAGGAGGAGGGCCTGAAGAGCCACTCCGACAAGATCAAGACGGCCTACACGCCCAACCTGATCTTGCCCAAGTGGCTGCCCGTCGAGGGGGAGATGGGAGACCCCAGACGACTGGCCGTCGCCTTCGGGAACCTCAATGCCAGTGAGACCAGCGACGGCAAGCAGTGCGCATGTGGGCTGCCCAGCGACGACACCATCCAGAAAGGGGCCACCAGCGTGTTCGAGGAGCTGGCGATGGGCGTGATCGGGTCAAAGGACGACCTGGAGGAGCCACCAGAGAAGGAGGCAGAGCCTGACCAGGAGGAGGCCGAAGACGTCGAAGGGGAGATCGCGGCCCAGAAGCCTGCCCGAGTCCGGCTGCTGTCGCGACCGAAGCCCCTCAACGAGCATGACGTGCTCACTTGCGACCAGGATGGACTGAATAGGTACGACAACCAGCTGTCGATCGAGGATCCCGGGACGACCTGTGTGTACCGTACCGCGTTGGCGCCTCTCGAGGCGTCGTCGGTTCCCGACCCGGGAGTGGTACGGTGCATAGTGTTCCGGCCATTGGAGCCGAAGAATGATGCACATTACCGCGCCGGAGCGGGGCCGCAGCTTGACGGGGTGCAGACGTGGTACGGTGCATGAGCGCCGTTCTCGCAGAGGAGGCAGAGCATGTGCACTGCATCCTGACAACGCCGAGATTGTGCATCCCATTGCTCGTGCAGTGGTTCGGGCAAGACCGGCACGGCAAGCTCCTGCAAGACGACTTGCGAAACGTCTTTCACAGGGCCTTGTTCGAGCCAGGTGACCAGCCTGGAACATATCCCCATCGCTATGGCTGGCATCGCCTCGTCTCGATGCCAATCTTAAGGATTCCCCCAGTTTCTGAGGGCGCATCCCTGAGATCGCCATTCCCTCTTGGCCCATCAGTCTTAGGAATAGGGGTAAGTTCGAGGCTGGTTACCAGGGGAGTTCCTCACGGAGAAGGACCAGGCCGCTGTCTTCGGTGCCGCTGGCCAGACCGAGGAGGTCATGGTCCCCCTGCAGCTCCCGGAGAAGCCCACGAAGGCGACGCAGATGGACGAGGACAGGCAGACTTGGGTTGAAATCGGGCGTGTCCCCCTACAGGAGGAATCTTCCGAAATAGTCCCAAAGTAGGGTCCGGGGACGATTGTCCTGATTCCATTCTGACGAGTTTGGAATCCAGGGGCACCTGCCCGACCTAAACTCCGGCCGTTCAAAGCAAGGCAAGAAGGCGTGCCTGCTTGAGACCGCCCTGCCCGGCGGCCCCCGCGCGCTCTGGGGCTTCGGCTCCTCGCTCGGTCGCTGCCCCTCCGCCGCGGCGCCTCTCCTCTGGCCCTCGCTCGCTCGTCGTTGCTGCGGGCCCTCGTTCGGTCCTGTGCTACCCGGGAGCTAGCACGAAGTCGGGCCTGTCCCTCGACAGGAGGAAGATCCAACAAGCATAACAAATAGTCGTCAGGGGACCATGGCTGAGCATGTCTGGAGCACTTGTTTAGGGTCTTGTTGATGATGCGTCCAAGATTCGCCTGCGGGGGGACATGCCCGACAAAAAGTTAGCACTTGACTCTAACCCACGTCCACGACAAAACAAACACGAGGACAGGCACTACTGGGGGCGGTATACGGAGTACTACCGGAAGCGAGCCAAGTTCGGGACGGAGTGCGGCCGCTTCTTCGAGGAGCTCAAGGGCCCTTCGGCCAAGGATCGGCGGCGCGCCCGGGGGGGGGGGGGGACGTGAGAGTGGGGGCCGGCCTTCTCGGAAGGCGGGCGGGGCTTCTCGGAAGCCCTCGGTCTTCGGAGCAGGCTCAGCAAAGTGGTCCTGCCGAGTCTTCCGAGAAGGCCCGCCCCCTCCGCATTCTCCCTCCTGGGTGTCGCCGCCGAGAGGAGCTCCTCGCCAGCTGGAACCGCATAGCCTACGGGGCCAGCTCGCTCGCGAAGGACAGCTACCGGGCCGCGGCCGTGAAGCTCGTGGAGTACTTCTGCCGGATCGGTTGCGAGCTGGCTCGGCTCATCAGGCAGAATCGGGACGTGCTCGCGCGTTGCAAGGATTTGGCGACTACAATGGGTGTAGCGTTGTTTCGCTGGGCTCTGGTTTGCGATCGAGGCCTTCTGGGCTTAGGCGTCACTTCGTTGCGTCAACATTTTGATGAACCATCCTCGGAGCGCGGCAGAGATCTCTGTTGATAGCATCGCCCGCCCCCCCAGGCGCGGATTGCAAACCACACCCTTTGCAAACCACATCCTTCAGGGTCGCCGAAAGGAATCGGATAACAACACATGGCATAAACAAAGTGATTTCAACTTCGCGCGGATTTCTTGGATCGGCGCTGCACCCCCCCCATGGCGTGCGGAGCGCGCCAGGGGCGTTGCCGGATGCGCCGCCAGGGGGGTCCAGCGCCGATCCAACAAAAACACCAGCGTTGGCCTCCGAGAGTTTATGTCTATGGCAGTTGTTTGCTGCTCTTGTGAAGGAAGAGTACGAGGAGATGGTCGAGTGGTTGGGAACCGTCTGCGTGCAGCACCTGCGCACGTACATCAGCAAAGTTGAGGCGGACCCTCACCTGGGCGGCGCCGACCGCAGAGCGTACCTGCACAAGTTCCAGCTTCTGCTCGTGACGCTCTCCGAGTGGAAGCTCGGGGAGGCAGACACGCCAGTTTTGGTGGTCAGGGGGCAATGTCGGGGGGGATAGCCTCAGAGGGTGAACCCCTAATCGCCAATTCGTCGCCGCGAGTGGCCCGATAGCCCCACCGCCCAGGAGCGTGCGGATTCGCCACTGGGGTATACTGCCGATCTCTCGGCGACGATCATCGCCGACTCCGGCCCCATGGCTCCCCCCTCAGCGGGCCCCCCCGTCGTTGCCCACCAGATGGGGAGCCAGCTGGCCATCGAGGGCAAGGACGAGGAGAGCCAGGCGGGCGCGCACGACGAAGAGGCCGAGGCCTACGACAGCTACTCGCTCCTGGTGCACGAGTACATGCTGTCGGCGGCGTGGCTTTCTGGCAAGGACACGAGCAGCGCTGTGGAGGCGGCCCTGTGCCGGTCACGGCCGAAGGTGCTCGCCTGGGCGGAGGACAGGTCGCATGGCGCCCACATCGCAGAGCGGAGCTCATTCGGAAAACGATCGGATGGGCCTGGAGTGTCCTGGAGGATTTCGCTCCGCATTTCGAGGTGGATTTTGTACGTTTTTTTTTGGGGGGGGGGCAGGAATGAAGACTTAACCAAAATCCACTCGCCGTTTCGGGGCTTTGCATGACAATTCGCTTCAGCACGTCTGCAAGGGTGGCCCGCCGATGGGTCGCCAGACGGGGCTGGAACCGGGATCGATCGTTCCAGAGCGTTCCGGAACTCTCTCGGTCGAAGAATAGAAAACGACATGAACAGAAATTCGTGGCGCTCCGCGCGGATTTCTTGGATCCGCGCTGGGTCCCCCCCCTCGGCGGCGCCGGAGGCGCCGCCCCTGGCACGCTCCGCGCGCCAGGGATGGGGTTCCAGCGCAGATCCAAAAAATCCGCGCGGAGCGCCAGAAGTCTATGTTTCTGCCGTTTTTTATTCTTCTATCCAGAGCGTTCTGGAACTCTCCCGGGAGCCTTCTGGAGCGCCACTGGAGTGGCCGCGGCGTCCGTTACATCCTCCAGAACCGCCGGATCTCGTTCTGCGGGCCCTCGTTCGGTCCTGTGCTACCCGGGAGCTATCACGAAGTCGGGCGTGTTCCTCGCTACAGGAGGAATACTCAAACATAGTTTTAAAGAATAGCCTAGGGACGATTTTTCGATCATGTTTTGGCAAGTTTCGAATATGTCGGGGGTATTTTTCATCTGTCGTACAACATCGGCCTGTAGGGGACATGCCCGACCTAAGATTTGTCCTCTGGTCCGACTTTGTCCCCGTCTCGGCGTCGCGCGAGGTCGCGGAAGCTCGACGGGCTCCTGTCGCAGATCGTCGCGATGGCGCGCGGGCAGGCCTTCACGGCGTGCCTCGCGCTGCCCGAGTGGGGCCCGAAGTGGGCGCCGGCCAAGGTCGGAGGCGGTGGGCCTGTCTTCCACCGCCGACCACCAGAAGTAGGAGTGGGAGGGGGTCCTCCTCCTCCTCCTCCTCCTCCTCCTCCTCCTCCTCCTCCTCCTCCTCCTCCTCCTCCTCCTCCATCCCCCCTCCAACTTGTGGTGGTGGTGGCGGCAAGCAAGCCCATCAAGAGGAGGGCCAGCTGAGACAGCGATATTTGGCCGTCGGGGGGGACCCTCGTCGCCACGGCTGGACGCAGCTCGGCAAAATGGTGCGGTTTTGGGCCCTGGGAGGGGTCCCGAGACCGATGGTGAGCTGCCGCTGTCTCAGCTCGCCCCGCTCTACAAAGGCCATGGATCCGATTTGCGAGCAGACCTTGGAGTCGGCTCACCCGATGACGGGAGGAATCTCGACCGTCGACGTGGTCAGCTTCCCAGGAGCCCCGTACATCTCGATCACTTTCGACGCTTTTACCGACCTAGACGAGAACAGCACGCTCATGTTCTACAAGGACGCCGCCTGCCGCGAGGCCGTCCCGAACTGCGAGGTCATGAGCGGGAGCGCCTTGAGTGGAGATTGGCCTGGTATAGCTGGCAAGCAGACTCTGAACGTGTTCGCCGAGACTGTCTACTACAAGGCAGTTGCCGCGGTCGGCTCCGAGGCGTCCCTCTTCCTCCTTTCCCGATTCCTCCTCCTCCTTCCCCCGAATGTTTTAAACGAATTGGCCAGTACATTTCGCCTTGAATGTGGTGGCCGTGAACGGGCGGCCTCATAGTCTCTTGCGCTTTGTGTTCAGTCTGGGTCCGCGGAACCGCTTCGGGGAGCGTTTCATCATCAGCGGCAGCCGCATCAGCAACATCAGCAGCACCATAATCACACATCACCAGCATCACCATCAGTGTCATCATGATAATCATCGTCATCCTCCTCCTCCTCGGCATCATCACCACCATCGTCGTAACCATCCTCAGCAGCAGCATCATCGTCGCCATCCCCATCACCATCAGCAGCACCCTCAGCATCACCGTCATCACCATCACCACCACCATCACCATCACCATCACCACCACCACCACCGTCACCATCACCATCATCGCCTCCCCTCGATCGAGCGGCCGGTCGGCCGGCCAGTCACATTGGGCACACCGACGCGGCAGCCCCGGCGCTGGCAGGGCGGCGAGGGGTCGGAGCCCGGCCCGTGCACGCGCGGGCGAGAGCGGAGCGCCCGCCCGCCCGGCCCCCCCGCCACGGGCGCACGCCCGCCGGGGGCCTTCCCTGGCCAGGCCCCCCTCCCTCCCTCCCTCCCTCCCTCCCTCCCTCCTCGTCCTCCCTCCTCCCTCCGCGTCCCTCCTCCCTTCTCCCCCCCCCCTCCGCCCCTCCCCTCCCCTCCCTCCCTCCCTCCCTCCCTCCCTCCCTCCCTCCCTCCTCCCTGCTCCCTTCTCCCGTCCTCCATCCCTCCTCCCGCTCCGCCTCCCCAGCATGTCCCTCCTCCCCCTCCTCCTTCGCGTCCCTTCTCCCTCCTCCCTCCTCCCGCTTCGCCTCCCTCCCTCGAGACCAGCGGCAGGCGTGGGGGTTCAAGTTCCGGGCGACCGCCCCCGTGAGCGAGGACGGTTGCGCGAGGCTGGAGGAGTACGCCAGCAAGATGCACATCGCTGAGGAATAGAAATCGGCACACGCGTAAGCTGTAAAGAGGTCCCCCAGAGCTCCGACGATCCCGTTCTGTCCGTATCAGCGGTATGTCCTTCGGTGCGTCCTCCGAAAGCCGTTTGCGGGCCCCTGGGGAAGTGGTCCTGGAGCTCTGGGGCGCGGACCGAAAAACCAAACGACACATCGTCGGATGTAGGGGTGTGCGCGGATTTCTTAGGTCGGCGCTGGACCCCTCACCCCCCACGGCGCTCTTCCTGGTGCCTTGTGCGTCTGCGATGTGGCCTGCCTGAAGCCAGCTTCTCCAGGGCTTTATGGTTGTCACGCTTCTTACAACAGCGTTCATGCGTGTGTCGATGTTCGTTCCTCTCGCGTCGCCGAAGACCTCGACCCCCTCGTCTACAAGCTGGCGCTGGCGGAAATGCAGAACGACGTGGAGCGGGCCCAGAGTTACCTCATGCGCAGCTGCCAGCAGCTGACCGCGAAAGCGAAGAGTCTGCAGGAGGCGAGCAGCGGGGGGCTCTTCACAGACGAGACGGAGATCAGGGCAACGATAGGGGGCACGGGCCAAGGCGGGAACGCGTCGGCCCCCAATCGCCCATGAATCGCCGACGGGGGTCGGATGGCTCCACGCCGCCCAGGAGCGTGCGGATTCGCCAGCTTGGGCCTATTGCCCATCTGTTGGCGATGTAACGCTGATTCCAGGTCGACGCCCCCCCCCCCCCGAGCTAGTCCCCCCGTATCTTTTCATGGGCCTGTTTTCCACCGCCACCATGAGTTGGAGGAGGACGAGGGGGTCCTCCGCCTCCTCCTCCTGCTGCACCTCCTCCTCCTCCTCCTCCACCTCTTCGTCCTTCTCCTCCTTGTCCTCCTCCTTCCCCCCTCCAACTTACGGCGGTGGTGGTGGAAAACAGGCCCATCATCTTCCCCTCAGGAGAGGGAGCAGGTGAGCCTGCAGACGGGCGAGGCTCGGAGCGCAAAAGATTGGACGGAGGCAGGAACTTTCGGAGTCTTGGCTGCCTCGACACGCCCGTTCTGGGACGCAACGCGTAGCGTTAAGTCGGGCCTGTCCCTCTACAGTCAAAAAATAGCAGAAAAATAATCCGGGGACGATTGTTTGACCATTTTCGAATATGTCTTAATGTTTTTGGGGTGATCTTTTTTGCTTCGTCCCAAATCCGCCTGGAGAGGGACACGCCCGACCTAAGCGTAGCGTGATCCAAACGTCCGTGTCCACACGCTGCGCGCTGGCTAGGCTCCACGTGCTGGCCCACGTCTTGGCGAGCGCCTCCCGAGGAGGAGGAGGAGGAGGAGGAGGAGGAGGAGGAGTCAGACTTGCGCTTTCTGTCCACGCGCGGAGCGCCGTGGCAGCACGCTGCGTGCCGCGCGCATGCGCATCGGGCAGCGAGAAGGTCGGAGCTCTGCGTGGCTCCCGCGGCTCGGCGCCGCACCCCCCACACTCCTGGCGGTGCCTCCGGCGCCGCCCCCTGGCGCCGCCCCTGCGCGCCGGGGACGGGGGTGCAGCACCTGCCCGAGAGATCCGCATCGAGGTTCGAATGTTCCTGCTCCTCCTCCTCCTCCTCCTCCTCGTCCTCATCGTCCTTCTCCTCCTCCTCGTCCTCCTCGTCCTCCTCGTCGTCCTCCTCGTCGTCCTCCTTCTCCTGGTTCATGTCCATGTCCTCCTCCTCCTCCTCCTCCTCCTCGTCCTCCTCGTCGTCCTCCTTCTCCTTGTTCATGTCCATGTCCTCTGGAGGTCTTCTTCGACAACAAGCCCCCTCTGGCCGTGCCGACGAGACTCCGGGAGACGGCCGACTTCCAGGCCGTGTTCGGCGACCTGCAGCCCCGGTGCACCGTCGTGGAGGACTCGTCCCACAGGGTGTGGTACCAGGTCGGGCTCGGGCTACGGTAGGTTTGCGTCTTGTCGACCGGCGGCGACCCCAGCGCGGGCGTTCAAGGTTGAACGCCGCCGGCGACCCAGAATCGGTTGATGTTGAAGGATCGGACGTCTCGGAAAGGGCCGATCGTTCAAGGTTGAACGATCCCCGAGGTGACAGAAACCATCGCTTGGGTCGACACGACGCAAGCCTGCCGTAAATGGTGTGTTGGCGGTTGGTGGACCGTTGTTGTTCTGATTCCGTTTTGCAGCACAGGCATGCCGAAGACAGAGCGAGGGAACACGACCACAAAACGGAGGCGAGCAACAGTGTTTCGCTCGAGACCCGGCACCAGGTTGCTGACAACACCGAGGGCAGGGCGGCGACCTACATGCTACGGCAGTGGAAGAGCAGAGAGAGCTGCTACCTCCAGGGGGGGGACGCCACCGATCCGGCGCAGGACGACAAGAAGAAGGACAGCAAGAAGAAGGAGGAGACTCCGTGGGGCCCCGCGCAGGTCGACAAGTTCACGTTTGCGCTGCTCACGGAGCAGGGGTGGCCTGGCTACCCGCGGCTTGTACAGGATCAGGGACGGCCTGGAGAAAATACCAAGCTGAGGTACCTGGACAGCACGTACGAGCGCATGCATGAGCAGGACATCGAGGATTCGCGCAAGAAAAATCGCGTGATGGGGCGCATCCTCCAGATCATCACGTGGACGCACCCGCAGCAGAAGTCGGGCGACAAGAAGGTGCCCATGAAGAATTTGTGGAAGATTCTGTTCAGAGAGGCGACCAAGGAAAACCCGCGGCACCTGATGTACATCCGGCCCCCAGACGGTTCCATGGGGGCCTTCGTCCACATCGTATACCACGACACCCTCGACGTCATCGAGTTCTTTGGCATTTACGATTCGGGGAGGATCCAAGAGCAAAGATCTGCACGAACAGGATTGTCGGAGGTATGTGCGGATTTCTTTGATCAACGCTGGGCCCTCCCTCCCTGGCGCGCGGAGCGCGCCAGGGGCGGCGCCTGAGGCGCTGCGTGGGGGCCAGCGTCGCCCCAAGAGATCCAGGCGGACATCCGAGAACGTGTTGTTTATGTTGGATGCGACTCCTCTGGAGGAGGGCTTGCCGCAGGCTTGTGTGCTCGAGCAACTTCAGGCTGTCGCTGGCCATTCCGCCGGAGGACGCGCCTCCAGCCCGAACGTCCGACGGCGGCATGCCCTTCATCAAGGGCAGCCCCTTCTCGCCCCTCTACAACGGGAGCGGCCAGAAGGTGGAGCAGCCAGAGTCGGTCGTCATCGAGCGGTCGTCGAGGAATAAAAGACTGGGGGCGCCCATGCGGCGTGGTGACCACACCGCGTGGTGAGTCGGTGGGGAGTCGGCGCCAGGGGAGGTCACAACGCGGTCCGTCACCACACGGTTCTGCGGTCCCGAAAAAGAGCGGCACAGAGATGAACCCACAGAGGTTTGTCTGCATATGCTGGGTCTGGGTGCCATTGCACCCATCAGAATTTTGAAGAAAAATTGTCACTTTCATGGATTCCAGATCGCCCAGAAACATCAAGAATAGGCAGTGGACCCTGGGCATGTTCTTGGAACTCGCTGTTTTCCGTTCTGAATATGTGTTGCATATTTGACCCTAGACCGCTCTCTTTGAGAAAGCGCCTCCAGAGAAATCCACTTTCTTGGCTCAGAAGTTACCTGACTCTAAGCACCAAGACATCCGACGTCTCGATTTTTTCGAGACGCGGGCCCCCGACCTCCCGACCACTTCCACGGGACCGGTTTTCCGTCCCGAGTCGCTTTCTGACGGTCCTGAGGCCCGGCGAGGGCCCCGAGAGTCCGAAAACGACGAAACATGTCCGTCTCGATTTTTGTCGAGACGCCCGATGTCTGGGCATGCAGCTCTGTCGCTCTTCCAGGTCGCTCCTGCACTCGAACACGACGCTCGAGAGGCTCCTGCAGGAGCAGGGCGACGCGGCCGGGCAGGGCCCCGCCTTCCTGCCCGCAGGGCTGCTTCCGCTGCCGCCCTTCCCTACGAGGTCGGCGGCCCGCCGAGGGGGAAGTGACCCACACATGTCAGCCACGCACATGCCCAGACATCGGGAGTCTCGAAAAAATCGAGACGGAGGTTTTTCGTCGTTTTCGGCCTCTCGGGGCCCTCGCCGGGCCTCGGGACCGTAAAAAAACGACTCGGGGCGAATAACCGGCCCTGGGGAAGTGGTCGGGAGGTCGGGGGCCCGCGTCTCGAACAAATCGAGACGTCGGATGTCTTGGGAGGAGGGTCTGGGGGATGGGGGAGGGCTTGTTAGAAGCACGCTGCGTCTTAGAAGGCGCGGGCCTTATCTATAGACGTGAGGCCGGCGCCTTCTAAGAAGCACTCTGCTTCTGAAAGGGCTTTCCCCGTCTTGAGTTTGGGAGTTGTTGGTTCGAGGTTCTAGTTTTCCAGCGTGTTCGTCGGTTCTCGGCGGCCTTCCGACCTCGGGATGCGTTCCAGCAGCTGCGCCTCGCCGGGAGATATCCGGGTTTGCCCGGATCGTCCCGAACGGCCGCCGGAGACCCGATGTATGACCCGAAAACCGAACCAAGCTCGCTCAGGGGCGGGGGGGCAGGCCATCTCAGAAGGCGGCGGGGTTCTCAGAAGCCCTCGCGTTTTGGGGAAGCCGTCCGTGTCCTTGGGGAAGGCTTCGCAAGCTTCTCGGAAGGCCAGGGGCCATCTGAGTTGCCCCCTCGCTGCACGTCATCACTCGGGACTCCTCTGGCAGCCGTTCGGGACGATCCAGAGATCCGGGCACCCCCAGGAGGCCTGCGACGAGGCGCAGCGGCTGGAGCACATCCCGGTGCTGGCAAGCCGCCGAGAACCGACGACAGCACCCCTGAAGCTTCGGACCTGGAACGGCGAAACACCAAGCTTCTGCTTCTGATCGAGGAACGAACAGTGTCATAAACGTAAAAACTCGGAGATCCGCGCGGACCTCCAGGTTTCTGTGTTTATGTCATCGTTCCCTCCCCTACCACAGCTCCCGAACTCCGAAGTCTGTGCCTTCCCCGCCCCGGCGCGCCGCCCACGAGGGGCTACGAGGGGGAGGACGCCGGGTCCGAGAGCAAGGACGTCGAGATCTACTGCCATGGAGACCTGGGGCACCCAGACCTCCAGCTGTTCTGGCCCCTCAAGACGGCCCCCAGAAAGGCTTTTTTTTGTACCAAAAAAAATCGGCTCCCTGAATTCAAAAAAATGTTTTTTAGTTTAATAAAAACAGTCCCCAGAAAGGCAAAAGAGGGCTCCCAAACGGCCTGAGAGGGCCTCCAGGTGCCCCAAGTATTGCCTCCCAGGAGGCCAAGACAGCCACAAGACGGCCCAAAGAAGGTCAACAAGGGCTTCTCGACAAATGGTGCCACATGTGACGGCCTTCCTCTATCTCGTCCTCCGCTTCCAGACAGGGTCGGAGCAGATGGGGTCGGAGGATCGCGCCGCATCGCCGATGCATCGGCGATGCTGCTCGATTTGGAGCCCGATTTTATCCACGCCGACGTCGCCGATGCATCGGCGATCCGGCGCGATCCTCCGACCCGATTTACTCGGATTCTGGAGGCCTCTTGGTACAGTCGGACCGGGGGATAAGATCGAGGTCGGTTCGGGGAGGGTACCCTAATGTTCTCCTTGTTTGTTGGGAGTTATTGTGCATCATCCTGTGGGAGGGTACCCCTGGATGTTCTGTGTGTTTTGGCCGGCGGAGGGTCTCGTGTTCTCGGAGGATGTTCTTCAGTCCTAGGTCCGACTGTATACACAGATCTACGACGGTTTGACTTTTGTCAACCCCGCGGTCTTCCCTCGATCTCGGCCCCTGGGGGGGGCACTACTTATCGAGCCCTGGGGCGATCAAACATTGAACTGGGGAGAAAGCTACCCCTGGGAGAGGGGGAGAGAGCCTCGAGGCCGCGGATTGGAGCCAACGAGTTGTCGGCCGTCCGGGGGCAGGACGAAGCGTGTGGCGTGCAGCCGGTTTTGGCCCCGCTCGCCCGGCGCCCTCCACGACACCGCGGCACCGTGGCGCCTTCTCGCGCCAGGCGGCGCCAGCTTCCCGAGCTGATTCGCCAGCCCCCGGCGTGGTCCGACCCGAGGGACCGAAGAAGCAACATCTGCGCAAGCCTGAACCTTCGGAGGCCAAGATCGCCTACCGGGGAGACCGAATCGGGAATGGAAAGGAGGAGGGGGAGGAGGAGGAGGAGGAGGAGGAGGAGGAGGAGGAGGAGGAGGAGGAGGGGGAGGAGTACCAGCGCTGCCGCTGGGAGCTCGTCAGTATATGCCACTCCTCCGTGCCTATCCGAGGATCTGGTGTCTCGGACGGCTGTAAAAAGTCCCTCAAGCAGGTCTCCTGCCAGGAACCCAGAGATACGACGCTCCAAAAAAGTTGGAGCGGGCGAATTTTGTCTGATTTCGGCCTCCGGGGGCCCTCGCGGGGACTCGGGAGCGTCAAGAAACGACTCGGGGCGAAAAACTAGCGAAGTGGTCCAGACCTCCGGGGCCCACGCATCGAAAAAAATGGAGCAGCCGGATGTCTGGGAAGACTGGGGTAGGACGAAATCTGCTGCATGCAGCTGGCTTCGGCCACGCCCGCCGGTCGCTCTCCTCGATGCACTTGCGTCTCCCGGCGCTGGGAGGCGCCAGGAAAACTTGCTGCGTGAGCCGATTCGCCAAACCCCCGCTTTTCGTCTGACCCGAGAGACCGAAGAAACAACGATTGCGCGAGCCTAACATTCGGAGGTCGGAGAGAGCGCGTTTCACGGGCGCTTGCTTTGGGAACATTCGGCGGCGCGTTTCGAACCAGGGGGTGGGCCCCCCCCCAAACACTCGGCGCCGTCGATCAGAACCAGGGGGACTCCCCTCCCCCCTAACCCCCCCCCCCCTTCCCGAACCCCCCCCCCCACCCCTCCCAAGGGAGTGGGTCCAAATCCCCCCGCCCCGGGCGCTGGCGCCGGCGCTGGCGGCCGCCGTACCAACGCAGCGACGATGACGGTGGGGGGGGGGGTTTCAGCCCCCCCCCACCCGTGCCGGCGCCGGCGCCGGCGCTGGCGGCGGCCAGCAGCGCCGACGGCGGGGACGCAGCGACGATGACAAGTGAAGGCCCAGACGCCGCAGAGGGGACACACAAATCGCCATATCATATCGAGCCCTCGCATGCTCCTCAGACGCTCCTGAGACTCTTCTGACGAGACCGCAAGAGGCATCCATTAGAACTCTGACCCTTTACCAAAACACAGTGGCGGGAAGAGCCGAACGCCACACCACCACCACCACCACCCACGCCACCACAGACCACCATACCACCATCACCGCCACCACCACAACCACCACCACAACCGCCACAACCCACCATCACCACCACCACCACCATCACCACAAACTACATTACGACCACCACCATGACCACCAAAAACGCCACCGCCACCAGCACCACCACAACCACCACAACCCACAACAACCACCACCACAACCACCACCACCACAAACCAGCACACCATTACCACCACCACCGCCGCCACAAACACCGCCACCACAACCCACCACTCCACCACCATAACCACCACCACTCACCACCCACCACCCACCATCACCAGCACCACTACCAGCAGCAGCAGCACCAACACCACCACAACAGCCCACCACCACCACCACCACAAACCACCACGCCACCACCACCACCACCGCCATCACCACGACGACCACCACCTTCACCACCTCAACCCACCATCACCACCACCACCAAACCATCACGTAACCACCAAACCATCACGTAACCACCACCACCACAGTCACCACCACCACCACCATCACCACCACAACAGCTCACCACCACCACCACCATCACCACCAATACAACAGCCCACCACCACTACCACCACCATCACCACAATCTACCACACCACCACCACCGCCACAACCATCACCACTACCACCAGCAGCGCAACCCACCACCACCACCACCCGAACCACCACCACCACCACCACCACCACCACCACCACCACCACCGCCACCGCCACTACCGCCACCACCACCAGCACCCCCGCCGCCGCCGCCAGCCGCCGCCGACCCCGGAGCCGGCCCGAGGAGAGGGAGAGAGGAGAAGTAGGGGAAGGGGGGGAGGGGGGGGGTCGAACCCCCCCCCTCCGTCACGGGAAGGTGGGGGGGGTGTTCGAACCCCCCTCCCCCCCCCAGGAGGGGGGGGGGGGGGGCCCGGTTCCAACCCCCCCCCCCCTCCAAGCGACCACAGCAGGCGCTCTTTCGGAGGTCGAGATCTATTGTCATGGGTGGCTGGCTCGGGCGGGGAGCGGAGTGTCCACGGCACGCTGCCGTGGGGGCCCGTCGGCGTGCGATTCCTGGGTGCTGCTCCTTGGGTCGGCGCGGGGCCCCCCTGGCGGAGCCTTCCGCGCCGCTCCCCAGTTCCGATCCAAGAAGACGGCGCCGATCTCCGAGGTGCATGTTGTTAGGGGGGGGGGGGGGCAAGCACACAGACACAATGGATCGTCGATTCCCCAGCAAATGTAGAAAATATGGGAAGTGGGGGGGCAGACAGAGACCCGGAAGATATGGGGAAACACGGGAATCGTTTTATTTGTGTGTCCCAGGGCCCCTTCAGTTATATCAGTGGGAGCCAAAGAACTCGAGACCTCAGAACACGAGGAGGGCGTGGTCTCACTGAGGTCCCCGTTTTTGCCGCGGGGGTAATACATCTGGACTGTTTGGTTCGAGACATCTGCAGAAAAAAAACCCTTATCCATAATGGTTCGGGCCCTTTCCGAACTTAGGTCCCCTCCCAAAGCGTTAGGGGTACACTTATGGCTCATAATTCTTTGTATTTCCAGGAGACCTCTTCGGGAGCATCCCAGAGTCGCTGCGCGTCGGGTACGAGTTCTGGCGCCGGGGGCCCAACACGATCATGGGGTACCCCAGGAGGTTCGACGAGAAGGCGTACAAGGAGCAGAACAGGGCCATTCCCTGGTGGGCGGGCTCCGCGGTGATCATCAGCATGGGGGGCAAGGATGGGTTCCAGTCCGACGACACCGCGTCGCCCCTGGAGGTCGAGACTCAGATATACCGGGTGCCGTGGAGGAATCTGGAGGATTCCGACGGGTGTGCGGGCCTGAAGGTTGCCTCGAGGCCCCTGGTCCTGCTGAACTTGATGGCACCGCCCAAAGGCTCGCTGCTGGAGAGCGTCGCAAGGCTCCTGGCGAGGATGGAGCTCCTGAGCCACGCGCTGGTCTGGTCCTCCACGGTTGTCAGGGAGCGGGGAGGAGGAGGAGGAGGAGGAGGAGGAGGAGGAGAAGGAGGAGGAGGCCTCCTCCTCCTCCTCCTCCTCCTCCTCCTCCTCCTCCTCCTCCTCCAACTCCTCCTCGTTAGCGGGGAGGGACAGGACCAGGGGAGGCCGCTTCGCCCCCCCACCCCCCCTCGCCCAGTCCTCGCCGAGAGTGGACCCCCAAAGGCCCGCCCCGCCCAGGCGCGTGCGGGCTCGCTCTCGGGGGCCCACCGTCGATCCATTGGCGATGCTGTGCCGATCCCATGTCGGCGTTTGCCCCCCCCCCTCGGTGCTGGTCCCCCCCTTGCTCGCTGCCCCCCAGGTGGAGGCCAAGAGCTCCGGCGAGAGCCGCGAGATCAGCTTCATTCAGCTCCCTCGCCTGGGCCTGAACTTCCTCCTCCGCACCGTGGAGGGCGAGCCCCGGCTCGAGTGCGCGCAGCGGTCGGGGATGTACATCAAGGCGAGGCTGCCCCAGGAGTCGTCGCTCGACCGGCTGGGGATCCTGAGGTCGGCGGCGCGCTCAGGGCGGGAGTTGTTGGAGTGTCGCGCTCGAGTTGAGAGGTGCGCTCGGTCGTTATCGTCTGCTCCCGGCGGCGTTCCGGCATCGGGAGGCGTTCCAGCCGCTGCGCCTCGTCGATGGATGTTTTTTTTTTTTCTGGGGATGCCCCCGATCGCCCCGAGAGGAGGGCCGCCCCGATTGGCCCCAGTTGCGGGCACGAGGGCCACCAGAGCAGAGGGGGCGGGCCTGTCTCGGAAGGCTCGGAGGGCCACCGCCCTCCTGAGAAGCCTTCCGTGCCTTCGCCATGGGGGAAGCGTGGAGGGTGTCTCCGAAAGGCTTAGGCGACTCGTCCTTCTCCTCCTCCTCCTCCTCCTCCTCCTCCTCCTCCTCCTCCTCCTGCTCTGGGAATCCTCCTCCTCCTCCTCCTCCTCCTCCTCCTCCTCCCTCCTCCTCCTCCTCCTCCTCTATCTCCTCCTTCCCCTCCCCCTCCTCCACAACTTCCCTCCACAACTCCTCCTCCTCCTCCTCCTTCTCCTCCTCTCCCTCCTCCTCCTCCTCCTCCTCCTCCTCCTCCTCCTCCTCCTCCTCCTCCTCCTCGGGTCTCCTACGGCCCCGGTGGAAACCGTGCAGGGAAGCGGGTCCTTAGGGGAACGACGAATGACACAAAAATTCGGAGGTCCAGCGCGAATTTCTCGGATCCGCGCTGGATCACTGGCGCGCTCCGCGCGCCAGGAAGGAGGGGTCCAGCGCCGATCCGAGAAATCCGCGCGGACCTCCGAGTTTTGTGTGTTTGTGTCATCCCTCGTTCCCCTAGTCCTGAGGGGAGCGGGCCCTGAGCTGCTTCTGCATTCCTTCTCCAAAGCCACAGGGGGCTTCTCAGAATAAGGCCAGAGAGTTCTCGAGAAGCTTCGCCGCCGTTTGAGAAGGCCTGCCCCTGCAGTCGAGCATCGGATTAAGAGACCTCCTCCCGAGAAGTTGGGCCAGCGTTTCTCAACCAACCAACTTGTCGGAAAGCTGGCCCAGTCTCTTGAGCACGTTCGCCTCTCCAGCGTTGACAACAGACATTGGCCAGGTCTTGTCTCATGAAGCTTCTGAGAAGCTGGCCCAGGTGTCTTAGAACATAGCCGTCTTGAACAGGTTTCCGGCTGTACCCTCCCAGCTTTCATTTGAGCACGCCGCCGATGAGGCCCTGGTGGCCATACATATTGCTGGAGAGCGGCAGCGGCAGGACTCGAAGAAACAACTGGGGCTCGACCTAAACGGTGTTTACGCGATCTCGTGGACCGTTGTCGTCTTGATGTCGTTTTGCAGCAAGGGCGGAACGAAGACAGAACGAGGGACAACGAAACCAAAACGAAAGCGACAAGCACAGTGTAGGTCGAGCATTGGGAGAAAAAATCAGCATGTATGCAGACGTGCGGAGGTCCGCGCAGAGGTAGTGGGTCGGCGCTGGACCCTCCCTGAGGCGAGGTCCGCGGGAGGGCCCAGCGCAGCTCCGGGAAGTCCGCGCAAGCTTGCCATTCGTGTTGTTCCTTCTTCTGGGCGGCGTATTGGTCTTCAGGTCGTCATCTTCGGGTATGGCGTTTGGTAACGCCTCCGTGCCTCGAGTGCTTCGTGTGGCGTTTGGTCACACCTCTGTGCTTCGAGCGTTTTGAGTGGCGCTAGGTCATACCACTTTTCCTGCCAACGCGTCCACCTGGACGCAAGGCTTCTATCTGTTGGTCTCCGAAGGACGGACGTCCTGATGGCCAACTACAAGTGGGACAAGATCCAGCTGCCGAGTAATCCCACGTTTGCGCGCTGCACGCCGATCGAGGACGGCAAGTGGCGTGAAGAGTTCAAAGACAAGTTCTTCGTCTATTCGGTGCACCCGAGCTGTGCGTACCTCGTCGGCACCCCGGCCCAGCTGCTGTTTCCGGTCTACCTGCATCTCATGTCCCGGGAGTACGGTGCGGCGCACCAGTTGGTTGGCTACACGTTCGGGGATTCCACGGGCCAGGTGGAGGATGACGACGCCAGCAGGAAGGACGCCGAGATCGCGTACCGTCGTAGAATCACTGAGTGGATCAGAGGGATCAAGGAGAGCGGGAATGAGAAGGCTCACGTCCGCATTGCGGACATGCATTCGTTCCTCATCAGGCTGGACCTCGCGGCCGCGTGGGTCAACGAGAGCCTCGAATCATACGCACTGAACTTCAGGTCCTACCTCGAGGTGGTGCAGGCCGGGAAGGTCAGCGCAGAATGCCGCGTGCCGATCGATCAGGAGCTCGTGTGGCTATCCCAGTACAAGGACAGCTGCAAGGACGTGAATAGCCCGTTCCCACAGGACTTCGAGTACCGTACCCGCCTCATGAACGCGCAGAAGTTCGGCGACAGCCAGTTCGAGGTGGAGCTGGACAGGAGCGCACTCCAGAAGGACGGCGGGAAGAGCATCGGCGATATTTTCGCCAAGAGCGCCGCAAACCTGGACGACGCCCTGACGCGGCTCTCCAGGACACCCCCGTCCCAGGCGCCGTACCAGCTGGTGGCGGCGAAAGCGGAGAAGGAGACGGAAAATGAGGACGATGCTAAGCCAGAGCAGGTCACCGAAGAAGAAAGCAGCATTGACGATGAGCGTTCGTAGATCCGCGCGGGTTTCTCGGATCGGCGCTGGACTCACCCTGCCGGCGCTGGTAAGTTTTGCTCCCGCCCCAGATCCTTACCCCCCAGAGGTCCCCTGAGATCCTTGGGGGCCCGAAAAGGATCGACGCCGAATGACCATCCGAAGTCATTCGAAATCCCTCCTCGATCCTCGAGGAGGGCCGAGGGCAAAACTCAAAGGGCCGGTGCCCCCGGCGCTGCCACTGGCGCGCTCCGCGCTCCAGGGGTAGGGGTGCCCGGCGCCGATCCAAGAAGTCCGCGCGCGCCTCCCGAAGTTCACACTCACCGAACGCGTTGCACTCCTCGCAGAGTGCCTACTCGCAAACGTCCGAGACAAAAAACACATGCCTGCTGCGATGTAACATATCGTGGATCCCTCCTCGGCGGATCCGGGCCACCTGCGAGTGGTTACCTCTGCGAGTCGTGGAGCGCGCTCGTCTGCATGCGTTCCAGCGCGGGCCTTGGGACTTCTGCAGCCGGGGCGCTGACGTGAGGACCACGCGCTCGGCTCAGGAGGCTCGCGCTCGGCTGCGAGGCCGCGTCGGCGGGGGGGGGGAGGGACGGAGGGGCGGCGAGCCTCGCTCCTCCTGGCTCTTCCTCGCTCCTCGCTCCTCCTCGCTCCTCGCTCCTCCTCGCTCCTCCTCGCTCCTCGCTCCTCGCTCCTCGCTCCTCGCTCCTCCCCCTCCTCGATGTCAGGTTCCTTGCGCCTAGGTCGGGCAGCTTCTTCGTGACCGAGGCTGCCTGCCCGTGCCCAGGAGTGCCCCTTCTCGCTCCTCGGCCCTCGTTCCTCGTGGCACATGCGGCACGGCTGCTGCGGGTCAGGCAGGGCTGGACTCCTGTCGGGCCTCTCCCCCTGCAGGGGGGTGTTCGATGAAAAATTGCAGATACCCCTAACATACCCCAAAAAGGTCAAACAATACTCAAAAAATAGTCCCCAGACTACGTTTGGACTATGTGTTTTGATTATGTTGGAGGTATCCTTTATTTGTCGTCGAAAATCCCCCTGTAGGGGGGACAGGCCGGACTTAAGGCTGGACCTGAGTGCCCTTGAGCCCAAAACAGCGGGACGTAGGCGGCGTGCGCGCGCGAGGGGCACGAGGAGGGCCAGCGGGGAGCATAACTCTGCTTCACCTTCGTGAGCCCGGGTGCTGCTGGACTTCGCCTGTGTTCTGTGTTCCGTTTTGGCGGGGAGGTGCAGGGAGCCAGGTAGAGCAGAACGAACAGCAGAACGCAGGCAAAGCGAAACACAACTTTCAGGTCCACGTGGAAGCACCCCGAATAACGAAAGACAGACCAAACAGCCTGGGAAAAAAAACAGCAAAAAAAAACGAAGCAACGAAAAACCCTGAAACCCGTCCACAAAGAAAAACGAACAACAAAACGAACAGCCCTGAGGTCAAGCTCACGTGGAAGCAGGCGGCCCCGGCAGACGGCGAGGCCACGATCCTCGGCTGGCGCATCTTTGGCAAGGTCGCCGGCGAGGGCCTGGACAGCGCCTATGCCCGCAGGAGGGGAGGGGCAACGTCGGGGCGGGGGATCGGCTCCCGGGAGGGCGTATGGACCCCCGATCGACCATGGATCGGCGATGGTCGAAGAAGGAAAAACCACACGCAAGCATACACTTTTGGCGCTCCGCGCGGAATACATAAACATACACCACATAAACATAGACTATAGTCGAATAAGGCAAAACCACATAAACATACACCACATAAACGTCCATGGATCCGCGCCTGGGCCCCCCCCGGCGGCGCCTCAGGCGCCGCCCCTGGCGCGCTCCGCGCGCCAGGAAGGGGGCCCGGCCCAGCGCAGATCCAAGAGATCCGCGCGGAGCGCCCAAAGTGTATGTTTGTGTGTGTTTGTTTTTTCCCGGAAAGGGCTCGAGCCCAGGGTTCTCTTTTAGTGGGTTTACCCCCCGGTTTCGACGGGAAGAGGGCCGGCGAAAATATTCTGCGATAAATCACATGCGGGAAGAGGGCCGGCGGAATTAGTTTTGAGGATGTCTCGAGCGAAACGCTTGTTTTTCAGAATTTGTTGAGGATGTCTCGAGCGAAACGCTGGTTTTGCAGAGTTGGGGATGTCTCGAGCGAAACGCTTGGTTTCAGAATTTGTTGAGGATGTCTCGAGCGAAACGCTGGTTTTGCAGAGCCGACCGCGACACGGAAAAGCGCTCCTCGCGCAGGAATTCCGAGGATGTCTCGCGCGTGCCGCGTCCCGCGCGCAGGAATTTTGATTTCTTTGGGTTTTGACAGGATTTCTCGAGCGAAACGATTGTTTTTCATAATTTGTTGAGGATGTCTCGAGCGAAACGCTGGTTTTGCAAAATTGGGGGATGTCTCGAGCGGGGGCCTCGTGGGGGGCCAGAATTCAGAGGATGTCTCAGGCGAAATGCTTGTTTTCGTGTCCCGCTCGCAGGAATTCCGAGGATGTCTCGCGCGTGCCGCGTCCCGCGCGTAGGAATTCGGATGATTTTGATAGGATGTCTCGAGCGAAACGCTTGTCCCCAGCACGTTCAGTAGCGCGTCCCCTTGGCACGTCCCGCGGTGCGACCCCATGGCACGTCCCCTGGCACGTCGCCTGGCGCATCCCTTGGGACGTTTCGCGGCGCGTCCTCCTGGCATGTTCCCCTTGTCAATTAGCTCTGGGGCAGCTACTATGTGTTCAGGCAGCTCGAGCTTAAGATCCAGATCAGTTCGGTCAGGACTCGGATGCAAAGGAGGACTCGATCCACGACGCTATAGAGCACAACCGCGGCATGGCACATCGCAATTCAGCACGGTGCAGCACAGCACAGCCCTCGGCATGGTACATCAAGATCGATACATTCAGCATTGCAACTTGGCACGTTCCTTGGCACGTTCCGTGGGGCGTCCCTTGGCGAGTCCCCCTGGCACGTCGCGTGGCGCGTCCCCTGGCACATTCCGTGGCACATCCATTGGCACGTTCCGTAGCGCGTCCCTTTTGGCACGTCCTACGGTGCGACCCCATGGCGCGTCCCCTGGCACGTCGCCTGGCGCATCCCTTGGGACGTTTCGCGGCGCGTCCTCCTGGCATGTTCCCTGTCCATTAGCTCTGGGGCAGCTACTATGTGTTCAGGCAGCTCGAGCTTAAGATCCAGATCAGTTCGGTCAGGACTCGGATGCAAAGGAGGACTCGATCCACGACGCTATAGAGCACAACCGCGCCATGGCACATCGCAATTCAGCACGGCGCAGCACAGCACAGCCCTCGGCGGGGTACATCAAGATCGATACACTCAGCATTGCATTTGCCCGTCACCCAATCAGGTGTCTTTGAAAACGCTGCCATGTGTTACACTTCTACATTCCTTTCCGGGTTCGTGGGTCGATCATGTTCTCTTCTGGGATCGGCTCTGGGGGGGACGTATGGACCCCCGATCGACCATGGATCGGCGATTGGGCACCAGTGGCCCTTGCCCGCCAAGCAGCGTGCGGGTTCGCCATGTGGGGCCCATCGCCGATCCGTCGGCGACGCAGCCCCGATGCAGGATCGATGTTTTCCCCCTGAGCCGGCCCCCAGCTGGTTTTCGGTCAGGAGGAAACAAAACACACAGACGCAATTATTCGTCGATTCCCAAGAAAATGTGGGAAGATATGGGAAGTGGGGGGAAGACAAGAAACCAGAAAATAGATGAAAATATGGGGAATCGTTTTACTTGTGTGTCTTTATTTGTGTGTCCCAGGGCCCCTGGCTTTCGGGTCACAGCTCGGCTCTCCAGCGGCCGTTCGGGACGGTTCGGGCGACCCCGGAGCGCTCTTGGCGAGGCGCAGCCGCTGGAAGGCTTCCCGATGCCGGAGGGCCGCCGAGAGGCGACGAGAACGTTCGAAAACCTCAAACTTCGAACCTCGGCGCTTCGAACCTCAAAGCGTCCCCCCCGAGCTTTGCCCTGCTGCAGGAAGGAGCAGAGGAGGCTGCAGCACCTGGAGTACGAGAAGCGGATGCTGGCCCTGGGCATGGTGCCGCGGAGGCTGGCGGACAGCTCCCAGGACGAGGCCCCCCAGGGGGGAAGAGTGATCTGTCTGGGCAACGGGATGGGGGGAAGAGGAGGGCGAAGACAGAGGATCGAGGAAACACAAACATGTATTACGGCGCATGCACTAGTGAAAGGCCCTGCTTCCATGCAACTTCGGTGCCCTCCGTCGACACATCAGCCGGCACTGGCTTCATGCTTTCGGACGTGGCCAGGACGAGGAGCAATGCATTCCAGAGCGTTCCAGAACGCTATGAGAAGGTCGCGGCGCCCCATACAACCTCCAAAGCCGCCGGATCTCAGAGACTCTATTTGTCCTCGATGTTGCCCTCGTCCTGGCTTCGCCTCATGTTTCGGGGGTGCCTCCCCCGATCCGTGGATCTAGCGCACACCCGCCAGATCCACAGATCAACGCTCCATACTGGCGTGCGCCAAAGAGGAGCGGAGGGGCGCGAGGAGAAAGCGAAGAGAGTGTGGGGAGAGGAGGAGGAGGAGAAGGAGGAGGAGGAGGAGGAGCAAGGACACGACAAGCATTACACTCAAGGTCCCCCCAGGCAAAAAAAGAGGAGGATGAGGAGGAGGAGGACCAGTGCAAACCCAAGACTCATCCACGAGGTTGGAGTAAACCCTCCCTTGTAGCTCTCTCCTATGGGCACGTACAAGGATTCATTTGCACTGGGGGTGGTGCTGCATTGGGAGACAACACCTTGAAGATCCCGAGGCGTGCCAAAACACCCGTCTCGGAACTCGAACGCAACGAATCAACCTGACTGTTGCGTCTTGACGATCCTGAATCGTGCCAGAAAACTATTCCTGGGACTTCAACACCGCGAATCTACGTAACTGGTGCGCCCTGATACTCCGGAGTCGCTCCAAAGCATGATTTCTGGTACGCTGACCATGGGAATACGTGAAAGCCTTGCAAATGTTCAAGACGAGTGTGCACGGCGTTCAGGCGAGAGCGACATTTTGAAAGGGAACTTCCCTGAACCCGTAAAACTCTTGCAATGTTTTGGGCCGAGTGTGCGTGGTGCTAATGCGAGAGCCACTTTTTGAGAACGACCCGCCTTCAATCCATGAAGGTCTCGTTTTTGTTGACCCAGGTGCGCAGCGCTAAGGCGAGAGACAAATTTGAAAACCACTCGTCATCAATTCGGTAAAGTCTTGCAGCTTGTCAGGACGAATGCGCGCGTCGCTAAGGCAAGAGCCTCAGTTTGAAAACCGCCCGCACTCCAACTATGAAACTGTTGCCACTTTTCAGCTTCAGGATCATGCATGGTAAGGAGGTTTCAGGCGAAACGCCCGGCCTGCCCTTCTGTGTGGCCTCGGGGTGCGACATGAAGGAGTGAACCGCCATTGCTCTTTCGAAACCTCTTCCAATAGTTGGAAGCTAATCTTCTTTTCGGCGACCTCATTGACGGACTAGGGTCCCACCAAGCTAGAAAGTAATGATTTCTCGGCGGCACCCGCCTCACAAGAGCGACGACGACGACGATTGCGATTGTGATTGCGACTGCGACTGCGATCACGACTACGATTGCGACTACGCTTACGATTACAACCACGAGTAAGATCGCGACTGCAACCACAACTATTGATTCCGATTGCAATTCTCATGGGAAGATGCTCACACATCCTCTCGCGTGTAGGGTACCCTGCAATGGATTACTCCCTGGGAGAAAGACCCACACACATAATCCAGCCCGCCCAACAATAGAGGGAACATCATTTCCTCCGCGACGACGATTACCACTACGACCACGACTACGGCGACAACTACAACCACGACAAAGATTACGACTACAACCGCGACTACGATTGCGACTAAAATAACGACTACAACGACGATTACAGCCACGACTACAATCACGACTACAACCTCAACCACTGATTCTCATTGCGATCCTCATGAGAAGATGCCCACATATCCCCTCGCGCGTAGGGTAGCCCACAATTGATTACTCTCTTGAAGCAAGAACCCCGAGCATGATCCAGCCCGCCCAACAGTAGAAAGAAAATTATCTCCGCCGCGACGACCACGAAGACGACGACGAGGAGCAGGACGGGCGAGTTCATTCCCCGTCGAGGGGAACAGGGGGGGGGCGGGGAGCTGAGGTTCAAATTCTCCCTGAGGTCGAGGGGATACTAGAGGAGGGTAAGGGGGGACGGAGGGGCGGGGGGCGAAGGGGGGAAGAGGGGAGAGAGGGGGGGGCGAGAGAGGAGGGGGGGGCGAAGGGGGGAGAAAAGAGAGAGAGAGAGAGAGAGAGAGAGAGAGAAAAAAAAAGGAGGAGCGGAGGGGGGAGAGAATGGAGGGGGGGGGGAGAGGAGGAGGGGGGGGGGGGAAAGGGGGGGGGGGGCGAAGACGGGGGAGCGGAGGGGCGCGTTGGAGCCTCGGCGGTGGCCTCGGGGTGCGCCCGCGCCCCCCCTCCCTGCTCCCCGGCCTTCGCCGCGGCAGCCCGGGGGCGCAGGCCGCGCAGGCCGCGCGGGCCTCGGCACCTCGGGGGGGGGGGAGCTCTTGGGAGGAAACATATCCCCAGACATCGGGCGTCTCGAAAAAATCGAGGCGGAGGTTTTTCATCATTTTCGGCCTCCCGGGGCCCTCGCTGGGCCTCGGGACCGGCAAAAACCGACTCGGGATCAAGAACCGGTCCTGGGGAAGCGGTCGGGAGGTCGGGGGCCCGCGTCTCGAAAAAATCGAGACGTCGGATGTCTGGGTAGCACAGAGACGCAGTGAACCGTCGATCCACAGGGGAATGTTGGAAACTGTGCAAAAATATGGGGGAAGAAAAAAAGACCCAGGAAGTGTGGAAACATATGGGGGGGAGCCTTGTATTTTGTGTGCGTAGCTGTTTCTGTGTCCCACTGCAGGGCCCCTTCCAGCTCCCGAGCGGGCTTCCGGTCCGCACGTGCACGGTGGCCCTCCGGCGGGGGCCCCCAGACGGGGCGGTGACCGCACCGTGTGGTGAGTCGGTGGGGATTCGGGGTCACCGCACGGTCTTGGGACTCGGTTCTCCGAGGACGTCTCGGGCGGCTGGGGCATCCGAGGTCCTAAAGCCGTGCGTTGACGGACCGTGCGGCGAGGTCTTGGGGGATTTCGAGGTCACCGCACGGTCTGTCACCGCGCCGCTAACTCTTCGGTGCCCCTGAGATCTGGGCGACTCCTTTTTTAGTCGAGCCGGGCGCCTTCGCCTTTTTCCGGGCCCCTGGGCCCTCACATATCGATCCGGCTCGAAAACTGGCGCCGAAAGGTGGGCACCGGGGCTCCGGGCGCGGACTTTCACGAGGTTGCAGTCCCAAATATCCGACGTCTCGATTTTTTCGAGACACGGGCCCCCGACTTCTTCCCCAGGACTGGTTTTTCGTCCCGAGTCGTTTTTGGACGGTCCCGAGGCCTGGCGAGGGCCCCGAGAGGCCGAAAACGACGAAAAATGCCGTCTTGATTTTTTCGAGACGCCCGATGTCTGGGGCGCTCCGGGCGCGGATTTTCACGGCGCTGCAGCTGCTGCGCCTCGCCGGTTCTCTCAGAGGGGCGCCGCCCCTGGCCTGCGGTGCCCCCAGGCTTGCGCGCGACTCCGGAGCCCCGGGGCCTCCCTGCGGCCTCGTCCAGCAGGTGGCGAGGCGTCCTGGCGTGCCTATAGCCCTACGAAACAATGTTCTGAGAACCTTTTGCGGTTTCCACGAAGTGATTTTAGAACATTTCTGGCGGTGATTGCCTTGTCTTGTCACATCGGGCGCATGCTCTAAGAACATGGTTGTTGTTATTGGAACATTTCTGGGTTCTAAGAACATGTCGTGGTAGGACTATAGAAATGCCAGGACGGTCGGCCCCTGCTCAACCTCGAGGAGGGTGCTCGGGCAACCGTGGGGGGGGCCTCCCCAGAGATCCGACGCCTCGATTTTTTCGCGACGTGGGCCCCCGACCTCCCCACCACTTCCCCGGAGCCGGTTCTTCATCCCGAGTCGTTTTCTGCCGGCCCCGAGGCCCGGCGAGGGCCCTGAGAGGTCGAAAACGGCGAGGAACGTCCGTCCCGATTTTTGCGAGACGCCCGATGTCTGGGTCCCTGGGCCAGGGGGTGTCTCTGGCAACACCCGGGCAGCCGCCTCGACCCTGCCCGTCAGGCAGGCCAGGGGCCTCCTGCTGCGCAGGCCTCGGCCTCCTTTGTTGTTCGGGCTGCGCGGGGCGCCCAGGGCCTCTGCGCGGGCGCGCCTGGGCAGGGCGAGGCAGTGCCGGGTCCTCCCCGGACGTGCTGGCCGCGTGGCGTCAATCATTCCCCCTCCTCCTCCTCCTCCTCCTCCTCCTCCTCCTCCTCCTCCTCCTCCTCCTCCTTTTCCTCCTCCTCCTCCTCCTTCTCCTCCTCCTCCTCCTCCTCCTCCTCCTCCTCCTCCTCCTCCTTTTCCTCCTCCTCATCCTCCTCCTCCTCCTCCTCCTCCTCCTACCCCATCTCCCCTCCTCCTCTCTCCTCCTCCTTCCTTCCTGCTCCTCCTCCTCTCCTCCTCCTCCTCCTCCCTCCTCCTGCCCTATCCTCCCTCCTCCTCCTCCTCCTCCTCCTCCTCCTCCTCCTCCTCCTCCTCCTCCTCCTCCTCCCCTGTTCTCGGCCTCGGGGGGCCCTCGCCAGGCCCCAGGACAGTCGAAAACAACTCCGGGTGAAAAGCCGCCGTTTGGTGAATGGGTCGGGACTCCTTGGGACCCTTTGAGAAAAAAAACATGTCGGATGCCTAGGTTAGCTTCCCCGATGCTCTCTGATCTCCGAGGGGGCAAAAAGGAAAGCAAGCCCCCGTTCCGCCCGCGGCTCGCCGCGGCAGCTCTGGCTCAAGCCCTTTGGGCTCGGGGGCATTCGAGGGCTCTCACGTGCCCCATGTCTTCAACACTCTACTAGTGCATACCTTGCGAGGAAGGAGAACCGGCGTGCGGCTGGCACGAGGGTTGTCGGCCGCCCTCGCTCTGCGGGGGGGGGGGGGGGGAAACAGAGGAGGCAGCAGGAGAGAGGAGAGGAGGAGGAGGAGGAGGAGGAGGAGGAGGAGGAGGAGGGGGAGGGGGAGGGGGAGGGGGGGGGAGGAGGAGGGAGGAGGAGGAGGAGGAGGAGGAGGAGGAGAGGAGGATGAGGAGGAGGAGGAGGAGGGGGTGAGGGCCCTCTGCCTCGGGATGCCTCTTCGTCCATAGGAGGTCTCCCCCGGGGGGCCGAGGCATTCGGCGAGAGAGGGCTCGTGCTCCCGACGCGCGTGGTTGTGGCCGTTCTTCATCGAGTGCGCTCCACTGCTCGCAAGGTGCCGACTCGCAAACGACCGAACAGCGCATGCTCCTCCTCCTCCTCCCATTCCTCCTCCTCTTCCTCGTCCTCCTCCGCCTCCTCCTCCTCGCCTCCTCCTCCTCTCCTCCTCCTCCTCCTCCTCCTCCTCCTCCTCTTCCTCCTCCTCCTCCTCCTCCTCCTCCTCCTCCTCCCCCTCCTCTTGTGTTAATCACGGCGCCGCGGATCCACGCCATTTGCGAGTAGCTTCTGTCTGCGAGTAGCGGGCTGCGCTTGTTCAGCGCTCCGACTTTGAGCATCAACTCTGAGAGGTTTGCGCGACTCTCCTGGGACGGTGGACACCCCCCCGTCGGCGCCTCGGACGCCGCCGTTGTTGCGCTCCGCGCGCCAGGGAGGGGGCCCAGCGCCGCTCCAAGAGGCTCGCGCGGACCTCCGATGCTTTGCGCGTATGCCCCTTCTCCTTCCGAGTCTCCCCCATCTGATGGCCAAGCCGAGCCTGTCCTCCATCGTCGCGTGCCTCTTGGGGCAGTCCCTGGCGCTGCCGCCAGCCAGAGGAGGAGGATCGGTCCACGCTCGGCGCCCGCGCTTCTCGCGCGCGTCGGTCGGAAACGAGGGATCGGGACACATCCTGGACTCGCGCCTCCTGCAGATTTCACCTCAGAGGCCAGAGCCCAGATCCAGCGACCAGGCCGCCCTAGATGCCCTCAACGGTGGGCGGCCCGACGGGCAAGACGAGGGGCACTTGAGGTTACTCTCCGCGGCCAGGCAGGCCACAGGGCTGGATCCGCCAGGGGACGAGTTCGCGCAGTGCGGCCAGGTCTCGGAGAAGAAGCAGCCCCAGACATGATCGCGTCGTACAAAAATCAGGGCGGGAGGGTTTTGGCCGTTTTCGGCCTCAGGGAGCCCTCGCTGGGCCTCGGGACCTTCAAAAAACAACCCAGGATGAACAACCGGTCCCTGGGAATGGGTCGAGACTTCCGGGGACCCCGTATTGAAAAAATCTGGATATCGCATTTTTGGGGAAGCAGAAGCGTAGGCACAAACTTCTGGAGATCCGCTGGGACTTCTTGGATCGGCGGTGGACCCCCCTCCCTGGCGCCTCGTTTGCCCGCCAGGGGGGTCCTGGCGCCATTCCATGAACTCCGCGCTGAGCTCCGGAAGTCTGTGCCGATGCTTACGCAGTTGTCTTCTTCCCCTGCGAAGGTCTGGGAGCAGTACGAGACCGTGGCCTGGAGCAGGTCACCGGACCACCCGTCCTACGTTGCGTGCGCTCCCGCGAGCGGCGACTCGACCATCGGCATCTGCCGCACGGACGGCCGTGGGCACGAGATGTGGGAATATTGCAGGTCGGCGCCCTCGCTGGGGTGCAACGGCCTGGGCAAGCTGTGGCTCCCGCAGGAGGAAAGCACTGCATCCGCATAAACGCTTGCCAGCGCGGACCCCAGGCAGTAAGTTAGTGCACCGTGGATGTGCGAGCGCTCTGCTGTGTCGTGCAAGCTATGCCCTGGAGCTCTGGGGTGCAGGGCATGAGTCACGGGCGGCAGCGTAGCAGAGCCTCGCTGGACTCACCCAGTGCAGGCGGCAGGAGGAGGAGGAGGCAGGAGGAGGAGGAGGAGGAGGAGGAGGAGGAGGAGGAGGAGGAGGAGGACGAGGAGAGAGAGGAGGAGGAGGAGGAGGAGGAGGAGGAGGAGGACGAGGAGAGAGAGGAGGAGGAGGAGCAGGAGCAGGAGGGGGTGGTCGCGGGCGGCACCGTGGCAGAAGCCTCGCTGGACCCACCCAGCGCACGAGGCGGCCACGAGGAGGCCACGGGCGGCCGTGCGGAAACTCTTCGCCGGACCCAGCCAACCCCGTTAGGAAGAGAAGTAGGATCCCCTGTGTGCAAGAGCTGTTCGGAGAGCTGCCCGAGGTACGCGCGGAGCTCCACGAGTTTATGCTTTTATGCACGTTTTTGCTTCCCCCAGGTTCGTGTTCTGCTCGGATCTGCAGCGGCAGACCGCGCCCACGCCCGCGCCCACGGCTGTGATGCCAGGCGGTGCCCCGGGTGGTGCCACGGCGCCGAAGGGGCTGGTGGTGGCGACGATTCCGCCCACGCAGGGGCCCACAGTGAAGCCCACGGCGGCGCCCAGCGCAGCGCCCACGCCGCTGCCCACCTCGAAGCCCACGGCGGCGCCCAGCGCGGCGCCCACGCCGCTACCCACCGCGAAGCCCACGGCGGCGCCCAGCGCGGCGCCCACGCCGCTGCCCACCGCGAAGCCTACGGCGGCGCCCAGCGCAGCGCCCACGCCGCTGCCCACCGCGAAGCCCACGGCGGCGCCCAGCGCGGCGCCCATCACCACGACCGCCATCCTGGAGCCTACGCCGTCCCCCTCCGGGACCCCCGCTGAGGGGATCGCCGCCAGCCCTGCGCCCACTTCGTCGCCGACTCTGCTGGTGATCACGCTGGACGATCCGATCGTGGCAGGGGCGATGTCGGTAGACGTACCGTCGGTGGACGGCCTCTCGGAAGGCGACTGTGTTCTCATCGAGGGAGGAGGCAACGCGGAGGTGGTGTGCATCGCAGGCTTTGGGTCGATCCTGCTAGCGAGCCCCACGGTCAATGCATACCCACCTGGCTCAACCCTCATACTGTTGGACGCGACGACGTCCGGTGCTCGCCATAAAAGGGAAAGGGGTCCTGAGGGAAACGGGTCCCAGACCCCAGGGCTTTCCCCAGGACCAGCTCTTCATCCCGAGTCGCTGTTTCACTGTGCCAGAGGGGCCCGTGCAGGACCTCAGGGGGCCGGAACTTCCAGGACAGCTTGCCCCCCCCCCCCGCTCGAACGGCGACACAGTTTTCAGGGGCCTGTTCCTTCAGGACCCGTTCCCTTCGTGCCAAGGTGCCGCTGCATCTGGCCTGCAGACAGGGAAGTCCGTCACGACGACGTCCGGCGAGCCGCACGCCACCGCGCAGGACGACCCGCACGTGTGCAGCCTTTCGGGCGAGTGCTTCGACATCCGGGAGCCTTCCGAGTACGTCCTGCTCCGCGTGCCCTACAGCGTGGAGGAGCCGGACATGCTCAAGGTGGATCGGGGGAGAAAAAGATACAGATACGTGTTGTCCCCCTTCGTTTTCGGCCTTTCCTGGTCCTCCTGGGGAATCCTCGTTGTCACCGCTGGATTCGCCTCGAAATTCTGGTCAGAACGCACCCCAAGAGAGGTCCGGGGACAACACGTATCCGTATCGTTCCGCCCCCCAAGTGGAGAGGCAAAGAGAGAAATTGATTCCATGTTCCTTGCTCAGCGGCGGGCGAGTGGAGCCAGCGGCAGTTGGCCTTCGGGGGGGAGCGTCGTCGCCACAGCTGGACGCAGGTCGGACACTTGATGCGTTTGGACCCGCGCAGGTGTCAGGGGACTGCTTTGAGTTGCCGTTGTCTCAACTCGCCCTGCGGAGAATCGATGAACAACACAATAAAATAAACACAAACTGTCGGAGATCCGCGCGGATGTTCCGTATCGGCGATGGGCCTTTCCTGCACAAGCATATGGTCTGAACGCTTCGCGTGCCCACACCAGCTCATCCAGGCACGATGCCCAGGGCAGATGCCCTTCTCGGGGGAGCGCAGCATCATCTGGAGAGCTCGGGTAGCCTCCGTGGGCTCGAGGCGTCTTGGGTGCTTCTCGGAGCCTCTTTGGATGTCTCTCGCTGCTTCTTGGGAGGCCTCTTGCGGCCTCCTGGAGGCCCGCTGGCGGCGCTTCGGGGCCCCTCGGGGCGCCGCGGGGGCCACGTAGAGGTCTCCTGGGGTCCTCGGGGGCTTCTTCGCAGTTTTCAAAGCCCCATTGGGACGTCTTGGGTGCCTCTGTGGTGCCTCTTGGCCCCCCCTTGGGGCCGCTTGGGAGCCGCTTGGGGGTCTATTGGGGGCATATTGGGGGCCTCTTGTAGGCGATCGGTCAGCCAAGGGGGGGGTCCTGGGGTTCCCCCAAGGAGGCCAAAATAAGCCCAACACCAGGGGAACATGAGTGATGTTTAACTTCTCGCCGATTCCGTCTTGGACGCTCTGACCGCTCCCCGCCTCCCCCGTCCACACCTAGGGGTAGGGGGAGGGGGCAAGCTGTCCACGAGCAACAAGCCGCCTGGCTCATTGACACTCGCCCTCCGTACACATTAGTAGCACCCGAGTCTCAGCATGGACAGGGGCAACCAATGCAGGCGCCAGCCAGGTGCGCGAAGCCCGCGAGGTGCGCCGCACCTGCCAGCTGTGCCACGCGCGCCAGGTGCGCCACATTTGGCAAGATGTCGACCCCCCCCACCGCTCCTGTCAAGACCAGTGCAAAGTGACGGCGGGTTTGTTGTATGCGAGCGTGCGCCCACGGTCGCTCTGCATTTGTTTGGTAGGCCCGCGCGCAGCAGGCGACTTGCCGCCCCCCCAGCCGCCGCCCCTGGCAAAATGAGCTCCTTGCTTTCCTTTTGAGAGGGGCGATTTGCCTGCACGCAGCAGGTAGCAGGCCGGTTCCCCCTGCCAAAAGAAAACAGATGCACAGTGATCGCGGGGCGCCCGCGCATGATCCAGATTCTCGTGCAACTTAGACTTTGTATTGTTTTGGTGGCTGAGAGTGGTGGGGGGGGTGCTGGCCTGCACGTGGCAAGCAATGTGAGGCCCCCCGCGCCGTCCCTGTCAAAAACGAATGCAAACTGGTCGCGGGGCGCCCCGCGCATGCTCTTGATTTGGAAGCGAAGGGGATGTTGTTTTGATTGTGGACAGGGATGGTGGGGGGGGCGGTGACATGGGTGCCCTCCAGGGTCAGTGTTGACTGCTGGCCGGGTGGGGGAGGGGGTGTTTGTCAATAGGGAACAGCGATCAAGACCCCCTCCCTCCCCGCCCGCAAGCCGTCTCGCTCACTCCCACCCGCCCTCCCAACACAGAAGTATAACTCGAGCCTCAGCATGGTCAGCGGTCGTCTTTACATGGGCAGCTACGGAAAGCCAAAGCAGGCCAGCTGTGCGCGACGCTGGGGCGAGGTGCGCCACGCGTGCCAGGCGCGCCAGGTTCGCCAGGCACCCCTCGGGCCCAAGCGTACCAGGCACGCCTAGTGCGCCAGATGCGCCACGTGCTCCACGTGCGCCATGTGTGCCGCATGCTCCAGCCCCACAAGGTGCGCCACATTCAGGGCACGCGCAGAGCATGCCAAGTGCGCCTGCGCACGTGACAGCACACATCGGGAAACATGTCAGCCCCCGCCATCCATGTCGAAAAGCAATGCGCAATCGCGGCGGGGTAGCCATCATGGTGTCTGGTAGGCCTGCACACAGCAGGCAATCTGCCAGCACCCCCGCCGCCTCTGTCAAAAACCAGTGAACGGTCATCGCGGTGTGGCCGCGCACGATCCAGATTTCGCCGCGGAGTGCATTTTGTTTTTTTGTTGAAGGGTTGGTAGCCCTGCGCACAGCAGGCAATCTGATGGCACCCCCGTTGTCCTTTGTCCAAAAGACCATGCAACGTTCTCGTGGGGCCCACCAGCATGACCCAAGGTTTCGCACCAGAGCGTGCTCAGTGTGGTCTTGTTGACAGGGATGCTGCGGGAGGGGGCGGGTGCCGGCGTGGGTTCGCAGCGTGGGCAGCGGCCGCCATCGACCACGATCGGGGGCCCATGCAGACGCCAGCCGGGTGCGCGACGCCCGCGGCTGGCGCTGCGCGTGCCGGGGCACCCCCATCCTTGTTGTCGGATACAGTAGGGGTCTTGAAGAAGGAACCCTGTTCGTTGGGGAGGGGCTCCGTGTTCCTTGATTGTTTCGCGGCTTGCCTCAGGTTTTCCCAAGGTTTTCGATGGGGAACCGAAGCGCTTTTCGTGCGATGCGGCACGCGAGCCATGCGCCGCGCCGACGCGGGGCTCCACCTCCCTCCTCCTCCTCCTCCTCCTCTCCTCCTCCTCCTCCTCCTCCTCCTCCTCCTCCTCCTCCTCCTCCTCTCCTCCTCCTTCTCTCCTCCTCCCTCCTCCTCCTCCTCCTCCTCCTCCTCCTCCTCCTTTAACTTATGGGAAAGGAGGGGCCTCGTTCCTTATTCAGGGTTCCTTAGGTCAACGCCCCGACTGTAGCAGTGCGGCGCGGCCGCCCCAGGCAGAGCAACGTGCCGCGCACGCCCACCCGCCCTCCCAGCAGATGGGCAGCATCAGCGTCGGGAGTCCTCCTCCTCCTCCTCCTCCTCCTCCTCCTCCTCCTCCTCCTCCTCCTCCCTCCTCCTCCTCCCTCCTCCTCCTCCTCCTCCTCCTCCTCCTCCTCCTCCTCCTCCTCCTCCTCCTCGGGAGGGCCCCGCTCCCACCGAGCTCACGGGTCCCGTCGGAAGTGCCGCGCGGGCAGCGTGAGGGCACCCCCGTCGCCCCTGCGAGGAGCCGCGCGAAGTGATCGAAGGGCGCCCGCGCGCGATCCAGATTCTGACGCGCAGCGCAATGGTGTTTGTTTGCTTTGCGGGGGTGTCGTGAGCCTGCACAGGACCGTCAATATGAGAACCATCCGCAGCCGTCCCCTCTGTCAGCAAGACAATGCGAAGTGATCTCGGGGCGCCCGCGCATGAACCAGCTGTCGCCCCACAGTGTCCGTTGCGTTGCGTGTTGGCAGGGGTGATGCGCCTGCGCAGAGGGGACACTTTGAGGGCACCGCCGCCGCCCCCGTCACAAACCAAGGCAGTGTGAGCATGGGGCGCCCGCGCACGGTCCAGATCTTGCCGCAACCTGTGTGTTGCAGTGTGTGTTGAGATAGGTGTTAAGCGTGCGCAAGACGGACGATACGAGGGTATCCCGCCGTCCTTGTTAATTACCCTGTGGCAGATCCTTCAGTGATAGTGTCGAGCGCTACACGCGCGGGGACAGAACAGCGCCATGCGCTCTATAGCAGAACAGCGCCTCGCGCTGGGCGAGGCAAGCGCACGGGGTGGCATGGCAGGCCAGGGGCAGCTGTGGATGGGAGGCCACGCGGGCAAAAGACAGCGCCATGCGCTCTGCGGCGCAGCGGTTCCCTGCAAGCTGCGATGCGACGGCACCGTGCGCTGCGCGACGCGAAAGTGGCGACCGTTTCGCATCGCACCCCCCCAGGGAGCCGCGAGGTCTCAATGGGGCCCACGTACAGCGCCACCCCGCGCGACTTCCCAAGAACCCACGACAGTTGCGACAGTTTCACACTTGGGAGCCGCGAGGTTTCAGCTGGGCACACGTACATTCCCACGACGCGCGACCCCCCAGTAACCCACGGAAGAGGCCACGGTTTCATTTGACGCAGCCCCCCAGGGAGCAGCGAGGTTTCAATTGGGTCACCGTGCGAGTCCACTCCGCGCGACCCCCCAGGAGCCCGCGACAGTAGCGACAGTTTCACATTGCGCAGCCCCCCAGGGAGCCACCAGGTGTCGACTGCGTCCCCGTACAACTCCACCCCGCTGGACCTCCCAGGAGCCCACGAACGTGACGACAGTTTCAAATTTCGCAGCCCCCCAGGGAGCCACGAGGTCTCAAGTGGATTCTCGTACAATTCCTCCCCGCGCGACCTCGCAAGAGCCCACGAAAGTGGCGACAGTTTCGCACTTCACAGCCCTCCCCCCTCAGAGAGCCCCGAGATCCCGACGGGATCCCAGCACAACTCCACTCTGCTTGACCCCCCCCCCCCCGGGGCCCACGACAGCGGTGACAGTTTCACATTGCGCAGCCCCCCACGGAGCTGCGGTGTCTCAAGTGGGTCCCCGTACAACTCCATTCCGCGCGACCTCCTTGGAGCCAATATAAGTGGCTACATCGTCACACGTCGCAGCCCCCCAGGGAGCTGCGAGGTCTCGGCTTGGTCCCGGTTCAACTCCACTCCGCGCGACCTCCCGGGAGCTTTCGAAAGTGGCTACATCGTCACATGTCGCAGCCCCCCAGCGAGCCGCGAGGCTTCAATCTTGCCCCCGTATTAATCCAAGAGGAGGAGAAAGAGAGGGCGACCAAGAAGTACATGGAGCTGTGAGATACATGCGCATGTTTGGCACTATTCATTGCAAGCTGTCGCAGCCGGGCACGCGACCGTAATGCGGTATTGCGATGCCCTCTGCAGCTATTTGTCGA